TACCAGTGGCCATAGTCCAGGTGCTGCCTGAGCAGGGTGTGGGGCTGCACGGTGCCGTACGCGTCCACCTCGGGCATGTTCAGGTCGTCCATGAAGTACACCAGCCTCTTGCTGCCTGGAGGGCCGTAATTCCTGCCAGCCTTTTTCTCCAGAGGCTTCTCCAGCACACCTGTAGAGGCAGCAGTGACTGGGAGTGATTGCTCAGCCCAGCCTCTGCCTGCTGGGAGCAGCTGATGCCTCAGTTTCAGCTGTGATCTGTTCCAGGTTCTGCACTGGTTCCTAACTCTGAGCTGCACACAAAGTGTCAGCAAGGTCTCCTCACAGCTCAGGCACACACAACAATCCTTCTCCAGCCCCACAGCCAAGGACACCGCTGCAGCTCCAGGCCCAAAAAGTGCAACCAGCAGGGAATTGAGGAGAGCAACCTGGGAGGATGGGACTGCATCACCTGCAGCTGGAATTGCACAATTCAGCCCAACTGGAAATGGACCAGAACTGATCCAAGGGTGAAACTCCTGAGCCAGGGCCCATCCTGGCTGCAGCCAGGGCCGGGCTCTTGCAGTGCCCAAGGTGCATCCTTGGAAGGGCTTTTAATAAATCCCTGCTTTATTCCTTTAACCCTGCCCAGCCTCTGCTCCAGGGGCCTCTCCAGGCACCACAGGGAGCCCCAGCCCATCCACCTGTGATGTTTATGGCTGCTCTTGGCACAGGACACTGCTCCCAGCAGGACAGTGGCTGTTCCCAGGTCAGGGGCCCTGTCTGAGGCTGGCAGGATGGTGGCTGTCCCCAGGCTGTGGCTGGGAGCCCTGAAGGGCACTTTGGGCCGACTCCATCCAAATCACAAAGTTTTCAATGCCTCCTCACAAAAAACACCACAGCATACTGTGTCTGCTGCAAGCCAGGTCTGCTTCAGAGCAAACACAAGCTCCTCATGCAAGATAATGCCTTTTGCATCCCTCCTGCATATTTGTTTTAACCCAGTCCTCCTGGCTGAGATTAGCCTGATCCCAGCACAGCACTGAGTCCCCTCCACTGCCTGTGTCCCCAGGCACGGACAGCAGTGGCCTGGCACTGGGATGGATCCAAGCAGGTGCTGGAACACAAAGCCCATGAGCTGATTTTGTGAAAGAAAGTGCAGTTTTTTCATCTTTTAGATAAAGGAAAAGGGTGGTTTTAGGGTCTGGACAACTTTCAAACAGTCAGAATAAAATTACCTACAAAAATACACCAAAGAGAATCAGAGAATCACAGAATGGTTTGGGTTGGGAGAGACTTAAAGATCATCTCATCCCACCCCTGCCATGGCAGGGACACCTTCCCCTGGCCCAGCTGCTCCAGCCCCAGTGTCCAGCCTGGCCTTGGGCACTGCCAGGGATCCAGGGGCAGCCCCAGCTGCTCTGGGCACCCTGTGCCAGGGCCTGCCCACCCTGCCAGGGAACAATTCCTGCCCAATATCCCATCCAGCCCTGCCCTTTGTCAGTGGGAAGCCATTCCCTCTTGTCCTGTCCATACATCCCTTGTCCCCAGCCCCTCTCCAGCTCTCCTGGAGCCCCTTCAGGCACTGCAAGGGGCTCTGAGCTCTCCCTGGAGCCTGAGTCCTGAGAAGAGCAAGGAAGCTGAGCAAGGAGAGGCTGAGGGAGCTGGAAAGGGGCTCAGCCTGGAGAAAAGGAGGCTCAGGGGGCCCTTGTGGCTCTGCACAAGTCCCTGGCAGGAGGGGACAGCCGGGGGGGTCAGGCTCTGCTGCCAGGGAACAGGGACAGGAGGAGAGGGAACGGCCTCAGGCTGGGCCAGGGGAGGCTCAGGGGGGACAGCAGCAGGAATTTCCCCATGGAAAGGGAGCTCAGGCCTTGGAAATGCCCAGGGAGGTTTGCAGTGCCCATCCCTGGAGGTGTCCATGGAATTCCTGGAGGTGGCACTCAGAGCTCTGGGCTGGGGACAAGGTGGGATGGGGCTGGATGGGCTGGGAGATCTTTTCCTGTGAGTCTCTTCACCAGACTGAACAGCCCCAAACACCTCCAAGTCCCCTGATTCCCTCCCCAGCATTACCCAAATCTCCAGATAACCCAACAAGACTCAATTCCACCACGAGCTGTCCCATTCCCACCCAGTTTCACACACGAGTAAAGGAGAACATGGAGAGAAAACTTCTCATTTGGAAGCTCTGGAAAATTCCCATTTGTTTTAGCAGAAGGCTGAGGTTATGTGTTGCTCTAGATTGTGGCATATTGGGAATATTTACAATGCTGGAGTGATATTTAATGCAAATCACCCCACACTGCTGCACAAAATGTTTTATAGGTTATTGATTTCCTTCACTGTGGCCTGAGCAACCTTGCCTGCCTCAGGAAGGGGCAAAGCAAACAGCAGCAGCTTTTCTGGCTCCTGGGATGATTTTCCTGCCAGGGGCTTTCTTGGAGCCCATCCTCACTGCCAGGTGCTCCCAGCCCCCCTGGAGATGGAGGCAGAATTTGTTTTCCTGGCAGAGTTTGGGGTTATCACCAGTCCTGGGAGCAGCAGCATGGCGAGGAGCAGTCCTGTGTAATTAGGGACAACTGGGAGTTTTGATAACAATTTTGTGCAAATGCACACTCCAGCCATTCCTTATCAAGGGCAAAAGTTATTAGGGAAAATTTATATTCTGGCTTTTTTTTAAGACCACAAATCTTTTAAAACCCCATTTGTTTCCTGCTTGGGTGCCCTGCAGACAGCCTGGTTACCCACTAAGAATTCAGCTGTTTTCTTGTCACAGACACTTCTGCACAAAGCCATGAATTGTGCTTAGAAAAATGATAAATTTTTCCTCAGTGGAGTCTCTCTCCCCCTTCACTAAAACCACAATATTTGAAATTTCTGGTAGCAAGTCAAATTAAGTGTTTCAAATAAGCATTTAATTTAAATTTAATTAGGCCTTAATTAACATATAAAATCAGCCCTTTTCGAGGTTAAACAAGGATGCAGGAGATTCATCATAGTGAAATGCAATTACTGGGGATGAAGTGACATGTTTGTGGAAGTTGCATTTTAATTCAAAGCTTATCCCACAATAATCCTGAAGGGTCTCTGCTCTGGGCTCCTGACATCCCCATCAGCCCCTCAAACACTCACTGCACACCAGACTTGGCAAGTGTGGCTCCTCTCACCCTGATGGCCAAGGGGGAAACAACACCCAACCCAAAAAAACCAATTTATTGTCATTTTCTCCAGGCAGATGTGGAGTGGGAAGGTGGGGAATGAGGGCAGGGGTAGCTGATGGAGGAGCACCCCAGAGATCCAGGCTCCACAGGAGGTGGGATTTGGTCACAATACACCAAAGAGAATCCCCAAACTGTGCCCAGGCTTGGGCACAGAGACCTTGCCTCCTTTTAACCCCTTTTGCACATGAAAATCTGTAAACTACAGGTCCACAGAGATTGTTTGAACCACATCCCTGAAAAGTGCAGCTCTGCACCTTAAAAATCTCTGTCCCAACTTGGCTAAGAACTCCTGGCTTTCAGGTTGGCTCTTTCCAAAGTAAATAAAAACTAAAATCCCAAACTGCTTTGGATTCACATTTTACAAATCTAAAGAGGCACCTGCTGGGGAAGGAAAAACAGCAGCCAGCTGACAAACTCTACAAAAAGGGACAAATTAACTATAAAATGAGCAGTGGGGAAGGATGCCAAGCAGCATAAATCACACTTGCCTGCGATGAAGACGTGCTGGGCTCTGCAGAGGAAGGAAGGGGAGGGCTCAGCCCGGAGCTCAGAGCAACAGGGACAGCCTATACCTGCCCCACACCTGCACACACTCACCTGGGCAGGTGGGGAGCACCAGGGTCCCCCCAGGCAGCTCAGCCCCCTCCCCAACCCAGAGCACTTCCCACTCCAGGAGGAAAAGGAGAAAGGGAGGCTGCAGCCATCACGCTGCCCTTGGCTGTGAGACTTGCCAGAAGGGGAGGTTTTGCCCATTTTCTTCTTGAAGGACAAGTAACCCAAATAATTTGCTGAGTGCAGAGGCACCAGCAAGCCCAGAAACCTTCCAAGCCTGCCCCAGAGAGCAGATGTGGCCCCACAGCACGGCCCCAGAGCATGGGTCCCTTCCAGCTCAGAATTTTCTGGGATTTCAGGACATTTAGGTTAAATCCAGCTGCATAAAGGAAGCTGTGTGGTTTACAGTGACTCACAGCTGTAATTCAACTCAAACCAGGTTGCTTTGTTACTGGTTAATAAATACATGTGAAATGATTTTATCTCTTGTTGGACACCATTCTAAAATGAGATACTTTTCAAGAATTTCCTGCTTTTTCTTCATCTCTGGAGAGACTACACAGCAAAACTGACTCAACCTCAGTCTCAAACTTGATTTTTCACTGATGTTTCAAAATCCTCATGGCAATATTCTTATGGACTTTCCTGGGGCCAGAAATTCCTTTGGGGTCTGAGCCCCAGGTCAGCAAGCTCTGTGCCCCTGGGGAGGGGCTGGGCCCTGCTCCATGGACAGGTTGGGCTGTGGCAGGGTAGGACAGCCCCAGGAACCAGCCCTGGCTTCCATATCCATTAGCACCATCCTCACTGCTAATTGGGATGCAATTCCCATCACTGCACCCTGAGGACAGCTTGGATCCTCTCCAAGAAACCCATCTCGTTCTTCCATTGCAGCACGTTAAAGGCACCCTTCACGTCAGAGACAAGCCACAAAAACCACGGCAGATTGAAGCCTGGCCTTTGGCACAGCCCCGAACCAGGGGGTTAAGAATGCAAATTCTCAGGTTGGAAAACATCTCCACAAAAACCAGGGCTCTGCTGAGCAGAGTTTCACTGTGGGATTGTCAGTGTGCCCACAACAACACGAGCAATTCTCCCACGAGTCTTTCCTTGAGCTTCCCTGTGCACATCCCGCTCCAAACCCCAGTGGATGCACCAGGAATGTCACAGAATCACAGAATCACACAGAATAACTAAATCACTGAATCACAGAATCACACAGAGTCACAGAACCACACAGAGTCACAGAATCACAGAATGTCACAGAATCACACAGAATCACTAAATCACAGAATGTCACAGAACCACTGAATCACAGAATGACAGAATCACACGGAGTCACACAATCACAAATAATGGCAGAATGACACAGAATCACTGAATCACACAGAGTCACAGAACCACACAGAATCACTAAATCACAGAATCACACAGAATGACAGAAGGACAGAACCACACAAAATCACACTGAATCACATAGAATCACACACAGTCACAGAATCACAGAGTCACACAGAGTCCCAGAATTAACCTGGTTGGAAAAGACCTTTGAGATCACCGTGAGCTGTGACCCAACACCTCCTCATCAGCCAAAGCCAGCACTCAGTGCCACATCCAGGCTTTCCTTAAACACCTCCAGGGATGGTCACTCCCCCGCCTCCCTGGGCAGCCCATTCCAGTGCCCAAACACCCTTTCTGTGGAGAGATTCCCGATCTCCAGCCTGGAGCTCCCCTGGCACGTTTGAAGAGCTTACCTTGCAGCATGGCAGAGGTGGTGTAGTAGTTGAAGGGGACCTTCTTGACGAGGAAGAGGTCGGTGTCCAGCGAGCAGAGCGTGTCCCCCAGCAGCACGGACTTGCCGGTGCCAGCAGCGCCCACCAGCAGCACGGGGCGCCGGCGCTGCAGCAGCCTGGCCACCAGGAACCGCAGGCGAATCGTCTCGGCCGTGGGCACCAGGCAGGCCTGGGGGGCACAGCAGCCACCTCAGTGTCACCTCCCTCGATGATGATGCCTTATGTTTTCAGATTTTAGATTTTTCAGCCTCTGTACTGCGTTAGGGTGTAACTCTGAACTCCATACAGAGTGTTGGTAAGCTCTCTTCACATTTTGGTCAGATAAAGCAATCCTTCCAGGCCTGAGAGCCAAGGACACCCTCTGCCTCAGGGCCCAAAAACCATAAACAAAAGTGAATTGGGAGAATGTGACTTCATTACCTGAAGCTGGAATTGGAGGATTAAACCCTGATTGCAAATTGACCAAACTTATTTCTGCCTGAAAAACTCGTGACCATCTCCCAGCTTGGGTGCAGCCCCTGGGAGGCTTTGACAGCCCAAGGTGAATTTATTGAAGGTCTTTAATAAAAACCCACTTTATTCTCTTAATCTTGCCCACTCTCTAAGTAGCCATTCCAAGGCATCAATGCCATGATGATGTTTTTCCTTTCCTTTTTATGCACCTTTTATGTGTTCTCAGTATTCCTGCAATTCTTTAAGCCTGGTGTCTTAGCATAGTCCTGGATTCTGCTTGGCAAGAAGACCAAACATCCCAAAAGTCTCACAAGTGGAGGCCAGAAAGCCTTATGCTGTCTTGAGAAGCCAGGGTTTTCTCCAGAACATATCCTACAAACTAGGACTAAACCCATCTGGGGAGAATAGTTTAAAATAAAAAGATGTCATGCCATCCATTGGAAATCTTTGTAAGAAATGCTAATTTGCAAGGTCTATAAAATTGTATATGTGGTATACCAAGGGTGTGCATTTCAACATATTCCACCTTGACAAATTGTTGCACCTTAAAGATCCTTATTAAATACCAAGGTAAAAATCCTTTTATATCCCTTTACTGTGTCTGACAATTGTAGTATGAAGAAAAGGCATCACCACCACCCCACAGCCACCTCCTGTGAGAGCCAGGAGTGAGTCAGGTGAGCCCAGCTTCCAGGCTGCACTGGGGAAGGAATGATCTGCTGCTGCCAGCTATTAAATGAAATTAAATGAAAGACTAAAATCCATCTTTCCAGCTGAACCCCTGGGAGCAGCATCTGGACCCCTCCACAAAATTACACCTTGCTAAAACAGGGATGATTTTCACAAGTCATCTGCTCACTGTGGCACTTCTGAAAAAAAACAGAGAGGTGCAACTGGCAACCACAATTCACTACCTGAGGAACTCTTTTCTTGGCCCAAACATAAACCCATCTCTATTTTCAGCCACGGAGAATGACAACAATGGAGTCTCTGAGGCTTTGTCCCTGCTCTGTCTCACCACTTCTCCCTGGGCACAGCAGCTCCCTGCCCCTGCTGAACATCACTCATATTTGGAAGATGGATGGAGGTTGTGCTGCTACAGTCAAAGCACAGCAAAAAAGATGGGCAATTGAGCTGTATCCCATAAAGAATTCCATCAGAGCCTGCCTTTTCACCAGACTTCACTGAAACACCCACGTTCACTCAGTAAAACACAGGAGCTCCCCCAGCCCAGCAGCTGCAGGGGTCACCTACCTGCAGTGGCACCTCTGGATCAAATTCAAACTGGGGAAGAAGTTTAGACCAAGGCTCAAACTTCTTTGTTTCTGGATCAACATAAAAGTCAAAGACTGTGCCCTGAGAGGGAAACTTGATGGTCTTGAATTCTGTCACCCACCACTTGCTGAACTCCACTCTGTAGTCCACGAGCTGCAGGACAAAAGGAGGAAAAAAGAGGCAAATCTGGAGAAATTCATTAGAGATGGAGAATGTTATTTATCCCCGTCCACCAGAGTGGGATTAGTCCTTAAAATATATTCCACATCTTAACAATCTTATCCTTTTTCCTATTATTAAGTCTAATTTTTCACTTTCTTCATTTTTTCTCATCACTCCTATTTATTCCCCTAAATAATTCATCCTCTGTGTTGATCACTCCTAGTATGTCTGAGATTAGACAGATGGATCAATTTGAAAAAGAGAAATACGTGCCTATGACTAAACAGACACTTGATTGATTTTTGGTGCCTACTTCTTCCAACAGACAAGGACACCACATCCATCTCCATCCGTGGCCATGGGTAGTCAGAGCATGCATACCAAATCTCTTCCTCATAAATCACACTGCCCTGCAAACACTTGGCTGTTGGATTCTGGCCTCTTTTCAAGCAGGAGCAGCAGGACTGCAGACCCCAGTTCAGCAAAGAATGGGAGAGGCACTGATGCCATAGAGCCCAGCTCCTGCTTTCCTGCTCTTCCCCCCTCTGTCTCTCCATGCATGAGGATTTTCAAGCATCTGAAATTTTTGGGAGCTGGGGTGACAGTTTTTGCTTTAGACACTGAGTCAGGATTTTCAAAATGTGCTTAGTCCCCTTCCCTGCCTCAGGTTCCCTCTGTGAAACTGGGCCAGGCACTGTCTGAACCCTTCCCACGCAGAGCACAGGGACTGCAGCCCTCACTCAGCCCTGGGCAGAAACAGGGGGGGAAGGAGGGGGAAAATGCTGCTAAAAAGATGTCTGGGAGAGAGCAGATGCATCACTGAGCCAGTTCTAGCAGCACAGTTTGCTCCTGGGACATCTCTATTAGGTGTCTCCTCCCCACAGCCACCCCAGGGCTTTTGGGGCCAGGTGGGACCATGGACAGCTCGGCCTCCCTCGGGAAACCCGGCTTTGAACTGTGTCCTCTGCCAAGCTCCCCGAGCCACCACACATCAAAAGACCAGAGGATTTGAAAAACACATTATTAGCATCCAAGATTCTGCAGTCTCGTGCTACCCAGAGAGGCAGAATGACTGTAATCTCCTTTCTCCTGCTGTCACGACTCCTCAGCCCGGCAGCAGAAGAGGGATGTGCAGCGCTGCTAAAAGCTTTCTCACAGTGGTGCCTCGCCCTGCTCGCAGTGCTGGGAGGGGCTGAGCCCTCAAGTGGAGCGGTCCCAGCCCCAGATCTATTGCCAGAACGGTGTCGAGCTCAAACTGCTTCCTTAACAAAAACCCCATATGGATTTCTGCTAATTTCAGAGCCTGGAAATGGCAAATCTATCATCTGTTTTTATAGAGGGGCTCTGCTCCCCACCAACAAACATCGAGCAGTGGGAAGCCTTCCAGCCTGTTTCTCCTGACATTTCAACAGCAAAAGGTCACCAGGAAGGGCACCTTCAGCAGGGAGCAATAAACAGCTTTTATATTGGATCATTTTTCATCAGGCTCCCCCTCGCTCGAACGCTGTGTGCTCACGCTCTCCTCCCTGACATTTACAGAGCAGCACAGGCAGCAACGCCCAGAACCCTCCCAGCAGGATGCTGAGCCTGCTCCCAGCTCCTCCTGCCACACACCCAGCTGTGCCAAGGCCCTGCCACGCCAGGACTGACAGCCATGGCACGGGAATGCCACGTCCAAGTGCCACCAGCTGCACCCCAGCCAGACCGAGGGGCTGAAGTTCCTGCCCAGCTTGTGCTGCTGGGTGAGGGCCAGCCCAGCTCCCTGGGCTTGAAAGTCACCCTGACAGAAGCCAGGCTGTGTTTTTCCCAGCTGGCACACAGGGAATGGAGGGTTAAGTTCTCCACAAGGAGCACAAAAGCTGGTCTCGCTCTCCACAGCCTCGAGGTGGTGGCACCAAGGGAGCACCAGGCTGAGCTTGGCCATTCTCCAGTGTTTCCCCCTGGATAATGAGGCCTTTCACAAAAGGGATCATTTAGTTCAGGTTTCCAGGTCAAACAGCATCACTGGCACAGCTTTAGGGAAAGCAGAAGAAAGTAGGAGGAAAAACAAAAGGCAATAAAAGCTCTCCTGAAAGATGCTGATGTGGCACCTCCCTTCTTACCTGGTCCTGGAACATGGACCCACCGAAAGCCCAGACAGCAGCAAAGACAAAGTAAAGTTCATAAAGCTCCTTGGGACAGTCAGGAGGTGTGTTGTCCTCCGTCAGGAGGCATTCCAGGAGGTAACACAGCATCTGAACCATGCTCTGCTCAGGAATGGGAATAATCTTCTTAAATCTGAGGGATAGAAATGGAAAACATAATTGGGAAATATAACTGGGTGAAGCAGCAGGGTTGGTCCCAGCCCAGGAAAGCAAGGCAGGAATGCTTTGCCAGAATATCAGCATTTTCCTTGGCAGCAGTGGGTGTCTCATTCCCTGGAAAAGCACTAAGAACACCCATCCTCTGCCTGGCCCCGCTGGCACTGGCACACACACACGTAATAACAGCAATCAGAAGTTTCAGGCATTTAAAAACTTTGATCCTCCTGAAAGAAATAAAATGGAGGAGTTGCTAAAGGCAATGATTTCCTGGGAACGCGAGGAGTTCAAAAGCGGTCAAATAGAGGAGTAATAAAATAAAACCTTTCATCTTGCCATTTTACATTCGTTTAAGCTACACTTACAGAATTCCAAACTAATATTGTAGCAGCACTGAAGTCCTCCATAAAGTAATTAGAGCTATTTGAAAGGTTGGTTCTACAATTTCTGAATTAAGCAAGCTACCAAAGTACTCAGCTCAGGGATGGTGCAGCTAATCCTGGGGATTTCATGGTCTGACAATTGTTCAGCAGAGAGAGCTGGAGATGCTCAATGGGCTTTGCTGCCAACAGCTTTAAAGTTTGGGCATCCAGAGAGCAACTCCCCAGCAAGATTCCCAACTCCCAGTCCCAAGGAGCAAGGCTTGCACTCAAGCAGCTCCTCCTGACACCTCCTCCTTGGGGCTGATGGTGCCCACGTTCAGTTGTTCACTGAATTTTCTTTATTTTTTCTATTTTTTTTTTTTTTTTAATGAAATTGCAGGTATGGGGAGCAAGCAGAGGATGGAGAATCACACAATCATAAACTAGTTTGGTTTGGAAAGGAACTTTAAAAAATCATCTATTCCCATCCCTGCCATGGCAGGGACACCTCCCACTGTCCCAGGATGCTCCAAGCCTGGGATGCACTGCCAGGGATCCAGGGGCAGCCCCAGCTGCTCTGGGCACCCTGTGCCAGGGCCTCCCACCCTCACAGCCAAGAATTCTTCCTAATACCTCATCTAAATTTCCCCTGGTTCAGTTTAAGAGCATCACTCCTTGCCTTGTTTTTCACACTCAGTGGTCAGTGTCCAGCCATGGGACACCCCCAGGCTGGACGCTCACACACTCAGCTGTGCTCAAATGCTTCAGGAAAGAAATCTAAGAGAGAACTTCCCATGGAGCAATCCCACCCTCAAACACCAGCTTCCCCCTCATCCCCAAAGGGCAGGAAAAGATGTGGGGAGAGGATAGAAGATGATCTGCTTTGCATCTTCCACACTTTCTTTCAGCAGTGTTTTGAAATCTTCTCTACTCACCCAAAACTTGTGTACTGAACTCAGGTCTGACCTGACACATCAGGAGAGGCTTTCCCTTTAGGATCTCCTGGATTTATTCTCCAAGAGATACAGAACTGGCACAAGCACAGGAACCATCAAATCAATATCCAAGGAGAACCAGATCAGACCAGCCAAGGATGGGCAGGAGCATCAGCTGCCTGCTCACCCCAATTTCGTGGAGCTGAAGCCAATGGCACTCGGGGCTCCTGGGGACAAGGAGGCCACTGGGCAGCCCTGGAGCAGAGCTGGTGTGGAACATGGGGAGTGACCACCTGTCCTCACCAGGGGACACAGCCTGCAGTGGTACCTGGCTCTCAGGGTGTCCAGGCACACGGGCAGGTACTTGTCAAACAGAATGGTCAGGTTGGCTCTCTCAGACTGCACCTCCCGCCCATCAATCCAGCTGCTCACGGGGGGATTCCAGCCCAGATCCGAGGGGTTGAGGTACAGGATCCCTTGAGGTGCAGGAGAAGAGAGAAGAGTGAGGACACAGCACAGGCTCTCCCTTTTTCCACCAGAAACCTCCAGCTGAAACTGAAACCCTGTCAAGCACACCTGGTCCCTCATCACCTGCCCCCTGCAAGGAGATGTAACTCAGGACACCAGCACACCTCTCATGACCTGCCCCAAATTTACAACATGGTATTCCCTGAGCCCTGCTATTGCTCTGGGCCCCAGACACCAGGGGACACCTCCATTCCCTGTTCCCATGCACTGCTGCAAAAGATCAGGAGTTCTTTGGGGTACAGGCTGCTCTCTCCTCAGCAGCCCCACACGGAGCTGTGCAGGGGTGTTCTCTCAGCAGTGCTGCAGCCAGGACCCCACAGCAGCAGTAGGAACACTCCAAGTACACCCCCAAGGGGATGACAGAGCCCACGTGGACTCAGGATCCTCAGTGAGCCTCAGGAACACACCCTGCACGCCACAGGCAGCTGTGTTCCCAGCCTGGGAGCCTTCAAAGGGACCACGAGCAGACAGGAACAGCCCAGTGGCCCCTGCTGCGAGGGGCAGGACTCACCTGCCCGGGACACGGTGGCCGGGGTGGCCGTGCGCAGGTGGCTGATCTCAAACAGCAGCCTCATGGTGGGGTTCAGAGGGATCCTCTCGTTGCTGGCCAGGGTCAGCACCTGCATGTGCAGACAGACAGACAGACAGACAGCCTAGAGCTCTGCCAGGGGCAGGAATGCAGAGCACTGCTGAGCTCGGCTGCCCAGCCCAGCAGCAAAGGGCTGCAGCCCCAGCAGGACACGGGGGGGTTCTGCCCCTCTGCCCCATTCAGACCCCACCTGCAGAGCTGCCCCAGCCTGGGCCCAGCACAGGCAGGAGCTGGAGCTGCTGGACAGAGCCCAGAGGAGGCTCCAGGATGAGCAGAGGGATGAAGCAGCTCTGTTACTTTAGAGAAAACTGGGGTTCCTCAGCCTGAAGAAGGGTCTGGGGTGACCTTACTGTGGCCTTTTGGTACCTGAAGGGGCTTCAGGAGAGCGACTTTGGACAAGGGCCTGGAGTGACAGGACACAAGGAATGGCTTCCTGCTGCCAGAGGGCAGGGATAGTGGGGATATTGGGCAGGAATTGTTCCCTGGGAGGGTGGGAAGGGCTGGCACAGGTGCCCAGAGCAGCTGTGGCTGCCCCTGGATCCCTGGCAGTGCCCAAGAGACAGGTCTTAGAGCAGCCTGGGATGGTGGAAGGTGTCCCTGCCCATGGCAGGGGGTGGGATGGGATGAGCTTTAAGATCACTTCCATCCCAAACCACTCTGTGATGCCATGACATGATTTCTGAGAGTCATGGAATGGTCCTTCTCTCTTCAACAACCCAGAATCCAAAGCACTCCTTCAGGGTGGGGAAAAGGCACAGAATTCTGTCCCTACCCTACTTCTAAATGGCCTAAAGTTATGATCAGGACATTTGTGATTACTCATGAGCATGACTCTCCAGAAAAGGGAAATTCCAATGAAAACAAGCTCCAAGTTATTTCCCTCATGCACCATTGCCTTTATGCAATATGGTTTGCTGTGTCTGAAGAAACACAGCTGCATTATTCCAGGAGATGTTATTACAATCTGCATTTCTCCCAGGCTGAATCACACCTGACAAGGAATACCTGTTTCTTTACCTTACATCCATTACCTTATTATCATCCATCACAGTGTTAAGAGATTCAATCCACATTGGATCAATATCTCCATCTAGTACCATCCACTTGGGACCATCATGTGAGATGTTGGCCAGCTCTCTCATGATTGATGAAAACAGTCCTGGGAGGGTAACACAAATATGTTGATGAACAATGAAGTTGTTACCTGCTCTACCAGATTTTTCCAGCAATTTCCTAAAAATTATGCTTTGCCCTTAAACATTCATAGTTCTTTGCATCTGGACATAAATAATACTAAATAATGATATCTGCTTTGAAGGAAAATAAAACCATATTATCAGAGTTATTGTCACTGAGAATGACTGTGGGCCTATATGAGTTACATTCCCACTGAAAATCATAAGACACAGGAAAAATGAAGAGCAGACACTCAGAGAAAAACCCCACAAACTACACAGAGAAAACCATCTGAATACACCTTGGAAATTCTTAAGTTTGTTTTTTTTCCTGTGGCTTGAAGTATATCAGGAAAATCAAGATGCTTTAAACACTAGGTCATGGCTTTAGTGAGACTGAGGGGAGAACAAGCCCAGACTGACATTGAGTGACAGAAGGAAATGTCAGTAAAATCAAGGAGACAGAGAATATACAGAGTCTCAGGGGGAGTAAATAATGAATGCTAAGAAGAGCGAGAAGCTGGGAACAGAGCAGAAGAACTGCAGGGCAAACAAGAGCTCCACGAAACCATCACTCTCCTCCACACGAGGAAATAGCTAGGGAAAGGCTGGTCTGCATGAAGGAACACCAGGCAGACATTAAAAACAGCCTCTCTTCTGGTGATTTGTGCCAGGCACGCTCTCTGTTTCTCCAGGACCAGTTATTCCCTCAGGATCTGGGTCAGGAATCGCCCGTGGCATTGCATGACCGAAACAAAGCTTGTGCACAGCAAATTCAGAACAGCTCAGCCCCACAATGCTGGGGTCAGAGAACACCTCCCTGGCCCTGCCTGGGTTCCATTCCTCATCTGGACACAGCCTGGCAGCCTCTCCAGCACTGCCAGCACAGCAGCAGCTCCTGCCTGAGAGCATCACACCCAGGCTGGAGGGAAATGCCCCTCTCCAACCTCAGGCATCCACACCACACTCGGGTCTTGGGACTTGAAAGAAGAGTTTGGTTCTACAAATAGCACTTTTAGGATGCCCTTGTGGGACCTTTTTCCACCTAACATGTACAAACTTTCCAGCTGCTGGCAGTGAAATGAGTGACAGGATGAACTTGGGAAGAGGAAAAGGAGGAGCTGATCCATTAAGGGGATACATCCTCTCTTGTCAGACTGTGCTGAAAATGGCCTGGCTGCTCTTTGTCATCAAGAAATAACATTTTCAGGAATGGTTAATGCAGTAAATATCTGCTTTGAGCCATCAGAGAGGAGTTTTCTCTTGAAACATTAGAGGATTGAGAAGCCTGGACAGCCACCTGCCAATGTCCCTCCTGCTGTCCAGTGCCACCCACAGTCCCTGCTCCACAATCCCCACTGTGCAGCTGTCTCTGCAGGGTGCTGCCTACATCCCACACTTCCCTCTGTCACTTTGATTTAGGGTGCCCAATCACAATTAAAAAGGAATTAAGCCTGGCACTGGAGCGGAGCAGGGGGCAGGAGGGGTGGTGGCAGAGCAGGGGAGGTGGTGGCAGCTCCTCTCCTGGAGACCTCTGGCCGAGGATGATTTATGGAGCTGTCCTGCCTCACCTCCCCCTCAGCTCCCAGAACACAGGGAATCAAAGCTGCCTTTCTGGATTAGTCACAACCCAACGTTTTCACTCCACATCTCTGTAATCTTTCAGCAGGTTTTAAATGCTCATTTCATCCTCCTCAGGAGCAATCAGGATCAACAGCCTGGCAAACACGGTGTGCTAGAGATCAGGCAGGGATATTTAGTGGAAAAACACCTCTCAAAGGCTGCTGGGAGTGTCCAGCCACAGCAACCTGGCCATGGCACTTTTTGGGGGGCCCCAGTGCAGAGCACAGGGCAGGAGGGAATTCTCTTCCAGCAGCAGCCCAGCCCCAAAAAACAACCTGCCCCAGTTAGGAATTGGGAAGCGCTGGTGTTAATGGACATGATAATTATCCTTATGGCAAAAGGATAAATTCCCAAAAAGCTGTGACACCCTGCATGTCCTTCCAACAGCAAACCCTCCCACGGCTGGGAGCAGCACCTGGGCTGTGAGACCTGCACACAGAGACCCAGCATCCTGCTGCCACTCAGGAGCTTCATTAAAAATACCCTTTTTATCTCCAAATTCAGCCACAAAAAGACATTTACCATCCTTCCACTCTCGTGTTGCTGGGTTGATGATGCCGAATAGCTCATCGTTGGTGACCGCTTTGGGGTTGAGGTCTGTCCAGACAGGACGGCGCTTCATCCTCTGGTAGGTTCTGTGCAGGGACCTCAGCACCTGAGACTTGCCCGTGCCTGCAGCACCCACCAGGAACACAGAGTGCCTCACACTCAGCAGCTCCTCCAGCTGCACCACCTGGGGAAACACCCCCAGGGCTCAGACACAAAATCTGGTCTAGGGGAAGGAGTCCCTGCCTGTGGAATGAGGTGTCTTCTAAGGTCCCTTCCAACCCAAACCATTCTGTGGAGTTAGCTCTTTGGGCCTCCTGTACAGTGATTTGTGACCCAGACACACAAAGGGATTTGACCCCAAGTTTGGTGTGGCCACTCCAACCGTGATGGGTGAAATCCTGAGCAGGAAAGCCTCCAGCACTGCTCACATGTGACAGCCACCAGCCAAGGAGGCTCTGCACGCCGGGGGCTGCATGTGCACGAGCCTCCAGGAGTCAGTCTCTGTCAATGCAGGGAAGAGGATTTAGGAGCAGGCAGACCCAGCATAACTGTTCTCCATCAAGGTCTGTCTGCAAGAGGAATATTATGGCTGCCCCATCCCTGGAAGTGTCCAAGACAAGGTGGACAGAGCTTGGGAGCACCCTGGGATAGTGGGAGATGTCCCTGCCCATGGCAGCAGGTGGAACGAGTGGAGCTTTAAGGTCCCTTCCAACCCAAACCATTCTACGATTCTGTGACAGTGCAGAGCCCTCTTTGAAGATGGCTGAGAAAAGCCAGCTGAGCTGCTGATGGTGCAGGTAGAGCAGAAAATCCCTTGGCCTTACTTTGAGAACAAAGTTTTCCTCGGGCTGCAGCCGCAGCTCCAGCACAGCCTCCTTCACCACGGCCTCGAAATCCAGGTCACGCTTCCGAGGCACATCCAGCGCAGGGAACAGGTCCCCAATCAGCCCCATGAACACTGGCACATCGTCTGCCACGATCTTGGGGATGTTAAAGTCCCGGAGGGAGCGCATCAGGACCTGCTCCTCGGGCCGCTCGGGGTCTGCGCGCTTCAGAGAGCCGGCCACCACCAGCACTGACTTGATGGCCCGCAGACCCCAGTCGTAGTGGTCCTACAGGAGGGGGAAGAAGGAAATAAAAACAGGGTTGAGTTAATACCTAGACAGTTCCAGGTGGGGTAAGAGCCAACAGTCCCAGCTGCCAGACCAGTCAGCGATGGAAATGGAGCCAAATTCTTTATTTGTTTTGTGGCCAGAGACCTCCACCAGCCTGAGTCACCTGGTGTCCCTTTCAGAAGGTGACTTCCCACCAGGGAGAGCAGTGAGTCATAATTCAGCTGTCCATGCCATCACATGGGCTCAGAGCTGGCCCTAAGGCAGCAGTTGCTCTACCACTCTGGAGACCTAAGTGACCTTTTCCCCTAAACCCTAAAGCACTTCGCTTGTCCTTTGTGCAGGTTAAGCAAGGCCTGCCAGAGCCCTGGATCTGCAGGAGCTACTGAGGTAGAAGGCTTGTTAGTCCATTCTGAGGCCTCAGACACCCAAATTTCTCCATCCTGCCCATCACCAGGCTACCAGGGACATTTGCTCCTGGGGACAGTTCACCAAGCAGGGGCAGGGAGGGCACTGCTGGAAAGGAATCCTGAAGAGCCGTGAGAGGAACCCTCAAGCCAAACAAGTCCATCTATTTCTGCCCCACTAAATCCCTGCAGAGCACAGCCCAACAGCTTGACTGCTTCATGTGGGAGGCCACAGGGCCTCCAGCTGCACAGCACAAAGTTTCTGTGAAAGGCAGAAACCCACCCAAGCTCATGCTGGCACAGCCAAGATCAGGTTTTCCATTTGGAATTCAACTCACCCCAGAGCTCTGACCTATGCAGACAAGTTAAAATCTGATTAACCAGAATTTTGCACTGCAGGTGACCTTGCATGGTCAACACTTGACAAGAAATAGAACTAAGAGAGGAACAGTCATCATGAACCCCTTGCAGGCAGGAGAATCAACAAGGAGCTAAGAGACTGGAAAGCAAAGGGTCACTGAATACTGCCCCAATCATGGTGGCATTTGAGGCTTTTTAAAAATCTCCCTCACTAATGCAGCTGGTCAAGCAGATCCTCCAGGAGAACAGTTTGAAAATCTCATTATTCTGGTGATCACAAACCCTCCCTTCTCCCAGCAGTTGCCACAAAGGCACTCAATAACTAAAATCTGTGAAGCTTCAGCTGTGGAGGTGCATGGCAGAGCATCACATCCCTGATTTGGGGGATCCAGAGCAGAGTGTCACATCCCTGATTTGGGGGATCCAGAGCAGAGTGTCACATCCCTGATTTGGGGGATCCAGAGCAGAGTGTCACATCCCTGATTTGGGGGATCCAGAGCAGTGACACATCCCTGATTTTGGGGGTCCAGAGCAGAGTGTCACAGCCCTGATTTTGGGGGGTCCAGAGCAGAGTGTCACAGCCCTGATTTTGGGGGGTCCAGAGCAGTGTCACATCCCTGATTTGGGGGATGCAGAGCAGAGTGTCACATCCCTGATTTGGGGGATGCAGAGCACGGCAGAGGGCTCACCTGCTTGGACAGGAGCTCCTTGCAGAGTTGGTAGAGCGTGATGAACTTCCTGGCTAAGGCCCGGGCCTCGAGGAAGCCCTCGGCCACCAGCATAATCTCACAGATCAGCTCAAAGTCTGGCACCACCATGGCACAGGGCCTAGGGAGACAGGCAGGAAAGGACTGACTGCAGAGCTCAAGGCCAGTGGATTTGTAGGTTTATCTTGCAGGTGCTCTCCAGTGAGCCACTGGAGACTCTCCCCAGCTGCCCGCAATGCCCTTCCCATGGCATGGGACAGAGCTCCCTTGTCCTCCCTGTGCATTTCCTGATCCAGACTTGGTGCACAAGGCTGAAACCATCTGTGAATGCCCAACGTGAGGGAATTTCCCAAGAAAATGAAGCCTGGATGCTCCAAAAGACAATTTCTGCCAGTTTTGATTACACAGGCCACAAACCCTGACCTCAACTCACCTGAAGAGAGCTTTCAAATTCTCAGGTAGCTCGGTTCGTCCTGCATAACCAGGGTTCATGGTGATGAAAATCCCCACTGAGGGGACTAAGTTAATATCTTCTCCAAGAAAATTGAAGGATTTCTTCTTCTCCCGGATTGCATCCTGCACACTCTTCACCTAGGACCCAAGGGCATGGTGAGTGCTGGTGTTCAGGTGTGAAAAACCCCAGACAGCACTGCTGCCCTCCCTACACCTGGCCCATAATGAGGCTTATCACTGCTCTGGTTTGGGTTTTTAGTGACCATATAAAGCTTTTTATACTGTTTGGGGTAAATCTGTGTGCCTCCCATCATAATCCAACTCTGACAAAGCAGCAAAGGGCTGAAAAGACTGGGCAGCCAAACTGGAAGGAGTTGCAAGAGCTTACTTCATAAGACACTTGGCTGGTCTTTTCTACCTGCCTGATTGCAGCTTTGTTCTGCTCATCCCTTGCTTTCCAAAGGGAGTGAGTCCATTAGAGCCAGACCACCTTATTCCATTGGATGGAGTGAGTCACAGAGCCACCAGGTTGGAAGAGACCCTCAAGATCATCAAGTCCAACCCAGTCCTGACACCTCAACTAAACCACAGCACCAAGTGCCACATCCAATCTTTCCTTAAACACATCCAGGGATAGTGACTCCACCACCTCCCCAGGCAGATGATTCCAGTGCTTTATCACCCTTTCTGTAAAAAACCTTTTCCTAAACAGGAAAAGACACAGCAGACTTCACTGCCCACCTTCCATTCTGGAGTGCACCGAGGCCAGACCCTCCTTGCCCACCTTCCCAAGGGAGCAGTTCCCAGCAGCCAGCTCACTTCCCCGTACCTCCATCGAGGGAGGAATCTCTGCTGGCTGCCCTAAGCTCACCCCTGTTCACCACCTTAAAGCAAAGCAATTAAGGGAGTTTCTCTGTGCAAGGACCCACACCGACAGGAGCTGCGTGACTAAGGCAGCCAATTAACATCTCCATGGTTACCCTCTAATAGCAGCCTGATGGAGTGACAGCCCTGCCTTGCTCAGACACCACCTCCAGCCAGGAGCCACAGAATCATTAGCAGCTGAGTCATATCTGAGCTTCTTTTGTTCCGCTTCCCCTTTTATTTTAAGATCCTCAAAGATGTTTTTCAATGACAACTTTAAACTAGACCCTGATGGAAGGGAAATGGAACACACAAACACCTGTACCTGCCTGGGATTTCTTTGGGACATCACATAAATGATGAGAGAAAGAGAGATGAGAGTGAGGAGTTCGTGGAGGGGTTCAGAACAATTCCTTTGACCAAGACATTTACAAAGTGTAGAAAATTCTGGGCTCTAGACTTTAATTTCTGCAATGCCAAGCCCCAAAGTGGGTCTAGGAAGAATTCAGCACCTCAGTCAAACACGGGGATCCCAAAACCTGCACTCACAGCTGACATTTGAGGCCAAAAGAACTCTGATGTTTTGGCAACTCAATTTTCAGCACTGAGATCCCCCAAGATTCAAACCTTTCTGGGGAAGGGAAGGGAAGGGAAGGGAAGGGAAGCTTTTCTCCACTTACCTGTACAGCAACCACAGAAAGAACCTCAACTGAGATCCTGTTAAATTCATCAAAACAGCCCCAGGCTCCTGTCTGGGAAAGGCCTTTGTAAATATTCCCACAAGACTGAAAAGAAAAAAATAAAATAAAATTACAAGAGTGAAATTACAAATGGAATCAACTCCAGCAAAAAATGGATTTGATTTCCCTGTCTGTTTATTTATAGCAATTTACAGTCTATTGTGGGTATTTAGAAAAGTGCACGGGAGCAGCAGGCACAACTCAATTATAATATTTATAGCTCTGCACAGTTTGCCACTTGATTTGCTAATTGCACTCTCTCGACATCTCTGCAGTCTGGTTCCATCCAAAGGTCACCTGGGCTGAGTTACTGACGGCCCACATCCATGAGAGACCTCAGCTGGATAAAATATGATCCAGGCCTACCAAAGCCACTGCCCGTGGAGAGCACAGGGATCAGCCCCATGACCCAGCACTGGCCCCATCCCAGGAGAGGTCCCTGAGAAACCAGGAGAGGTCTCTCCCCATGCCTGGGACAGGCAGCCCGGGTAGACAGGTCTGGAGAGAGGGAATGGACCAGCACAGCCTTGGTCTGACTGAACAGGCCAGAATTTGTGAAGAATTTGATGTGCAACCTAACTGCAGAAGGGAAAGGAAAGCTGGAGCAGGGCAGAGAGCACAGCCCAGGTCTCTTCCTCCCAAAGAACCTTGTGCAAGTCTTAGAGACGAAAAAGGAGGAGGAGAAAAAGCTCTTCAGCAGGAAAGGAGGCAGCAGGGATGTGAGGAGAGGGGATGGACCAGAGCAAGCCCAGCTGGGTGATTCCCACCCTGCAGGTCCCAGAGCAGCCCAGTCTGGGGGGAGCAGCACCTTGTAGTCCATCTGCTCGGAGCAGTTGAACACGTACACCATGATGCCCAGGGCACGGCCCAAGTCCTTGGTGGTCTCTGTCTTGCCGGTGCCAGCGGGGCCCGCGGGGGCCCCACTCATGGTCAGGTGCAGAGACTGGGTCAGGGTGATGTAACACCTGCACAGGATGAGGGAAAGGGGGAAAGTGAGCTGGGTGCCACTCCAGTGTGCTCTGCAGAGCCCTGCGCCCTCCTTTGGCACAGTTCTCTCAAACAAAAACACGAATGCATCAGGGTTCTCTGCGTGCTCTGTCTAGAGGTACAATTTAAATTTACATCACTGCAGCTGGCACCCTTCCTTGACCAGCCAAGAGAACTTGAGTGGCTGGATGCCAGAGGGCTGTTTGCTCTCTCCAAATATTTTCTTTTTCTCTGTTTGGCTTCCTTTTCTTGGTCTGATCAAGGATCTGTGAGAACAGGTGGCCCCGTGGTGATCTTTTATACCTTATACCGTGTGAGCATGGCTAAGCTGGAAGTCCTCATGGGCTTTAACAAGCACCTCTGCCCTGCTGAGACTTCTCCAGTGCATCACAGAATCAAAAAAAGTTGGAAAAGACTTTTAAGATCATCAAATCCAGCCATCAGGACAGCACCAGCACCTTGTTCACTAAACCACGTCCTTTAGTGCTACATCCACATGTTTTCTGGACAGCTTCAGGGATGGTGATTCCACCACTGCCCTGGGCAGCCACAAAAGTGAGTTGGGGGAGAGCAAACTTGGGGTAAATGATTTCATTACCTGAAGCTGGAATTGGAAGATTATGATATGCAAATTGACCAAACCTATAAAAGTGTGAGATCTGTGACTCATGGTCCATTTTGGGTGCAGCTCCTGGGGTGGCTTTGTCTGCCCTAAATGCACCTGAAGGCCCTTCAATAAATAGAACTGCTTTTCATTCCCTGAATTCTGTCTGGCCTCTGTTTTTAGGTGGCCCAGAAGGCTCTGGGGGGCTCACCTGTCGGTCAGGGGGGTGATGACGAGCCGTGGGGTGTTGCCCAGGTACTCGTAGCAGTAGAGGAACTGAGCGTCGCAGATGTTGGCCCAGCAGTGCCGCTCCTCGTCCGCCCAGCGGTGCCGCAGCTGCGACAGCCACAGGAAGGCCTGGGCACTGCCCACCTGCAACGTGCCACCGTGCCTTGGGGTGCAGTGCAAGATGGAACCGAGCCTGTATTCTACTGCCAGCTGTTAAAACCAGCTGGGGCAGCGTTCTTTATCTCTTCCACCACCCATCCTCCCTCCAGGGGGATATTTTCTGTCAATGGGCCATGGGGTCTCACTGCAGGACTGATAAAATGACATCATCCCATTGGAAGATGCTCCACCCAGGGGGAGGAGCCAAGCATTCCTGACTGGATATAATCTGAGAATCAGAACACCACAGGCAGCCTTTCTTCACTGGATCCCAAAAACGAACCCATCTAAACCACCAGAACCTCAGAGGAAAACTACACCCTTCTGCTTAAACAGAACCACATCTGTCACTCCAGGAGGACTGCAGCCACCATTTACTCAGACTGCCATCAACACCCTGACCAACAGGCTGTCAGGTTATATTCTGACTCTGCCACAGGGTTGCTTTTTTTGTTGGTTTTCCTTTTTTATACTACTGCATTTTTATTTTAATTTCCTTAGTAAATAACTTATTCCTATTCCCATATCTTTGGCTGAGAGGTTCTTGATTTCAAGATTATATTTCAGAGCTGGGGGGAGGGAATGGTTTACATTTTTATTTATTTCAAGGGAGGTTTCTGCTTTCCTTAGCAGAGATTAGCAAGGTTAGATGGGATATTGGGAAGGAATTGTTCCCTGGGAGGGTGGGGAGGGCTGGCTCAGGGTGCCCAGAGAAGTTGTGGCTGCTCCTGGATCCCTGGCAGTGCCCAAGCCTTGGATGGGGTTTGGAGTAGCCTGGGACAGGGGAAGGTGTCCCTGCCCATGGCAGGGGGTTGGAATGAGAAGAGTTTTAAGGTCCCAACCAATTCTGGGAGTATGTGATGAGGGCAGTGGTGTGGGAGTGGTGGACAAATCCCAAGGGATTCCCTGTGGGCTCACACCAGAGCAAGAAAGCTGCAGAAAAGAAAAGCCCAGATGCTTTTCCTTATGGCCCTGCTGAGCCAGGCAGTGCTCCCAGTGCCTGTCCCTGCCCTGTCACTCCTTGATCTCCCCTTCAGTGCCCAGCATGGCTCACACTGAGCTGGGAACACCCACCTTCTGTGCTATCATCTTTGCCACCACGTCTCGTGCGTGCACGTCAATGGTGCAGATGGTCATGATCTTCTGCCTGTCCCCCTTGGAGAGCTGCCCCAGCAGCATCGTCACCAGCGTGTTCAGCTGGGCCACCTGCTTCTTGTGGTACTCCTTCATGGCCTTCTCATAGCCTTCCTTCATCCTGGAGAAGGCCATGCCCACCTCAGCTGTCCACCAGATCTGGGTGCAGCAAAGAGCCACCTGGGGAAACAGACTGGCTCAACAGCAGGGGAACACCGAGGTTTCCACGTGCATCTGATCCACGGGGAGATCAGGGATGAAGCACCCCTGACATGAAATTAAGTTTTGTTATACACTATCACAGCAGGCAGGAGAGCAGGGATCCATTTTACATCCACTGAAATCCCAGCCTGGGCACATCCAGCAGGTGCTCGTCAGTGAGTGATCCCCATTCTCAGTGAGTGAGCCCCATTCTCAGTACCTGAGCCCCATTCTCAGTACCTGAGCCCCATTCTCATGTCTGACCACATGGGAGGCCGAGCTGGAGACCACGAGGCTGCCAGAGGAGCAGCCAAGGGGCTCCTTCCTCTCACCAGGCCCCATCAATTTGTTCTCTCAGCTCTCTGGGGGTAGGGGCTTCCTGTGAGCCCTGGGGTGCAGCAGCCACTGCCCAAGTCCCCACCTGCCTGGAGCTCTGGTCAGAGCACAGAGCTCAGCCTGGGAACCCATCACAAGATGGTCAGGAGAAAGGAGAACTCACTCACCCTTCCTTTCCCCTGGGCAGCAAAGGCAGAAACATTCCCATCCCCAGCCAGAGACCCTGCTGGGAGCAGGGCAGGAGCAGGGGCAGTACCTGGGCAGGGTGGTCAAAGAGCCACTGGTCCCTCGGCTTGTCCTCGTACGCCGCCACAGCCGCGCTCATCTCATCCCTCACCGTGGCCCTCATGGTGTCCAGCAGGCGACTCAGCCACACCTCGACCTGCAGGAGGGGTTAAATCCCAGGATTTAACTCCTGCTGCTCCTCCTCGGCAATGAGGGATGGCAGGGATTGGGACAAGCAGCTCAGTGCTCTCAAACTAGCCCCAGGGCTCCTCCAAACCGCAGCACTCAGCCATTTCTGCTCCTGCAGCATCAGCATCTCCTCCCAGACTCCAAGGGGGGATTTTGTGGAGATCCAGCTATAGGAGGAACCAAACTGAACTCCACTGAGGAGCAATTCAGCTCAGCATGTTCCAGCTCCAGGCCATGACAGTCACCTGTGGGACTGGAGCACAATCTGCCCGCAGCAAGAGAACGCTGGGAACACAATTCCTGCTGAATTTAGTATTTCACAGGCAAAGTCCTCACTGAGAGGAGGGTTGAAAAGCCAAGTGCCATCACTGGGGAGCTCAGAGCTGGTATTACCTACTTCAGCTTCCTGAAATAGTCCATAGAGAAAAGTGCAGCTACAGGGGCAGAAAAGCTGAGCAGTATTTGATTCTTAAATTTTGTATTTCAACACATCCTATGAAATAAGGAAGATTTGGAAAACCGGGGGAAAACCCTTTTCTTTCCAAAGATATCTGTGGATATAAATGGACTAATTTAATCTGTTTTCAGTCTGCACCCCCTTCCAGCTGGGAGGGTAAGAGTAACCTTCAAAATGTCTTTAATTTAAAAAAAAAAAAAAAAATTAATTTAAACTTTAATTAAAGTTAAAAAGCCCAGTATAGGCCACAGCCCTTCCTCACACCATGGGTTGTGGGAACCCATCCAGAGCAGGACTAGAGCTGTGCTGTAAGCAAAGATTAAGTTCCACACCACCTCTTCCAGCTTTTCTCACAGAGGCTGTGCAGTGAAACTCTGAAAGGGCTTGGCCAGGTTTGCCCAGCCAAGAGGTGTGGGAGCAGTTGGGACAGACAAGGTCTCCCCTCTCACCTGCCCGCTGCAGTCACAGGGTTCACTAAACTGGACATATTCCTCCTCTCGACTGTACATCCCCAGGCCAACCTTGGTGCTCTTCTGCTCAGAGTCCACCTGGAATTTCAGCTTGGCCAAGTTGTCAAAGAGTTTGGAGAGGTGATGCTGCACCTGCAAAAGGGATTGTGTAAACAAAGGGAGGGAGACAGGACAGGCAGAGCAGAGAGCAGCAAAGGTGTGACAGCCACAATCCTGCTCACAAAGCGTGACTCGGACGTCTTGGCAGCACCACATCTTCTAACTCACGGCCAGGATGCTGCCAACACGAGCCTCTTGCTGTCCTTCTCAGTATTTCCACTTACTTGTACTCATTTAGAACACAGGTAGGCCCTAGTAAATCCTGAGATCTCCCAGGCAGGGCAAAAAATCAGAAACCATCCAGACACTGCATGACCCCTGAATCCCAATTCCCCTGCACGTAGTGCTGCTCCACCCTACTCCCCCTTGTCCTGGTCTCAGCACTGGGAAGTTTTCCTCACTGGGAAACTTTATGGTTTTTTACCTCCTATAAATCAATTTTGTGCCAAAGAAAAGCCCTGAATTTTCCTCCATGGAGAAGCCAGATCTTTATTTCTGCCTGAGACCCAGACAAAACCCAGGGGCTGCAGCTCCTCCCGAGGAGCAGCTCCGACCTCTGGGACAGGGACAGAACCCCAGCCTGGAGCTGTGCCAGGGGAGGTTTGGGCTGGATTTAGGGAAAGGTTCTCCCCCAGAGGGTGCTGGCCCTGCCCAGGCTCCCCAGGCAATGGCCACGAGGCTGCCAGAGCTCCAGGAGAGCTTGGACAGCGCTCTCAGGGTGGGGTTGTTGGGCCAGGAACTGGATTTGATGATCTTGGTGGGTCTCCTTCGAGTCCTATGGATCCTGTAATCCATAGGATCATGGCTTGTCTGTCCAGTTCTCATTCAGTGTCCCACAGAGGACTCCACCCCCTGCTCAGGAGCTGTCCCACAGGTGGCCACAGACCATTGATTCCTTCCCTGGCCAAATCCCAGGAGGTGCCAAGTGGATCAAGGAGCAATGGACACTCAGCTTCCCCACCAGGACAAGCACACATCCTTCCCAATCTTACATCAACCACAGAATCCTGTTTTACAGCTGCAGGTGGGCAGGCTCAGCAATGCCCACTGCCACTCCCAGCCCCTCTGCAGGGCCTTGGCTGTGCTCCAGCACTCGATACAATTCTGCCACCAGAGCCTGGAATGCACCTGAATCAGCACCAGCTCAATATCCAGTTCAAGTGGATAATATCATTGTCTATTTAATCCTCCTTTAGGAATTATCAGGCTTTGAAACTACAGTGGAAAGGCTGAGAGCGTATCCGTGTATGATCCTGCCTGACATTTACTTTGATTTTACTGCAAATAGTTTTGAATAACAGAAAGCACCAGGAATTTCTCCTTACTCCGTGGAGCATTTCAACACAGCAGCTTTTCTCTGCTTCCTGTGTTTTCTCTCTCTCTCTCCATTTTAAGCATCAATCAGCTGTGTGTTTATGACACTCTGTGGGCTGAAATCACCCAGCAGCAGCAAACAGATCCAAGCAGAGTTAAAGGGTAGCGGCAACAAGAGCATTTCCAAGCCAGCCCCATTCACGTGCTGACACGAACGCTGCAAAAAAAGCTTAAGGAGGCTGGGATTGCTCACTACTAAAAGGTGGAATAAGGAATTGATTCCTTACCCAACAGCCTCCATTTGCTGTGAACACGTTGATCTGGTTTACACAGCAGCCTTAGGGTTAGTGATGCCTCCCAGAGCAGGCTGGTCAGGGGCTGAGGTTTCCTGACAGCAGCTCCTCCTGGAAAAGCAGCTGCAGGACTGAATCCTCTGAACTCTGCCCACGGGGAACAGAGGGTTCTGATCCCTGGGAATGGGGGGAAAGGGACTCTAAAGCCATTTCTTAAAACAGGAGGGTTACTGCCAGCTCCTCCTCAGGGTGAGCCAGCAGTCCTGCCCAGCCAGGAGGAGGAATGGTTTATCTGGAGAGAGTCTCCACACCTGGAATTCAGACCCCATCCCAGAAACCCAGTGTAGGGTCAGACACCAGCTGGCCCTGACCACCAGCTGCTCCCCTCCTGCAGGCTGTGCTCCTCCCTGCCCTGTCATCAGGGCATCCCAAAGGCTCTGCAGGGGGAAGGAAGAGGCACTTACTGGAAATTGCCTCTTCTGCCTGAAAAACCAGCCCTCTACAAGCCACCAGTGGTCAACACTCCCACACTGGAACAACCAGGCCGGGGTTCTTTGTTTGGTGGCACCCCAGGCTGGGATCCAAGGTCAGCAACAAGTTCTGGGTGAGATCCTGAGAAAGTCATTTTCCTGCAACCTCACTGTATCCCAGCAGAAACAAAGCCACTGTTTTTATGGCACAAAACCCATGGAGGTGCTGCCACAAGCATCACCAGAGTTAGATCAGAACACAGCCAGGGCAAGGTTGCCTGTCAGCAATGACAGCTGGAGATCAGCTGTGAAGGAGTTGTTAATCCACATAGGCTGGGAGGAAATCACTCCAGAAAGGACACTAGGGAGAGCCCCAGGACAACATCTTCCCCTGTGACACTCCTGGCAGCTGGAAAATGCAAAGGTGATGCAGTACAAGCCTTACCAGATGAGGGTTGGTGCCGTTGGAAAGAATATCCAGTAAATCTGCAGAAGAAATGAAGTAAAATCTGGGAAAGGCCAACCTTTTCATGTCCAAATATTCAGCCAAAGCCTTCTCACACAGAGACAACCTGGGGAGACAAAGCAGAGCTCAGGACAGGTGGGTAAATACCCTGCCATGCTTTGTGCTGCCCCTTGGCTTTTCTGGAAGTTTCTTTCCACCACGGGGAAATGCCAGGCACGAGCTGAGCCTGCTCCTTCCCACAGCCCTGAATAGATCCACAAAGCACAAGGGAACTCACAGCTCACTCCCTACTCCAGGGGTCAAACACCCAAGAGTCAGGGCAGCCTGATAAAAAAGCAGAAGCACAAGTGGAAGAAGAGGTTGGAAAGGTTTGCAGTCTGACCCACTGCTTCAGACAAGCTCGTCGCTGCCACAGGTGGTGGCATCCACTGGGATGAACATTTCCAGAACTGCTTTTATTCTAATGAGCCACATTTTAAAGTCTGATTCCAACTAACTCAGCTTTTTGTGTTTGCAAAGCATGAAAGGAAAGTTGTTTGCTCCGATCTAAAATGAATCTTGCAGTGTTCACATGCTAAACTGCTGCTGAGCTTACAAAGTTCCTAAATAACATTCTCTGTGAGGAACATTGGCCTTGTTCGATTGAAAATAAAATCAAATCTTTATTTGAAATGGAGAGCTGCTACTGACACAACAGCCTAGCATGGACTTTGAAGTGTTTTTCAGGCAGATTTGTATGTTAAGTGAGAAGTGTCTCCATCTCAGGTCTGTCTCAGAGAGCTGTGTTATGCCTCTTGTCAAGGGTACACAGGGGTAATTTTGTAAATTAAATGGGCTCAGCTCTGCTGCAAACATCACAGAAAGGTTTGGGTTGGGGGGGACTTTAAATCCCACCCAGAGCCACCCCTGCCATGGCAGGGACACCTTCCCCTGGCCCAGGTGCTCCAGCCCCAATGTCCAGCCTGGCCTTGGGCACTGCCAGGGATCCAGGGGCAGCCCCAGCTGCTCTGGGCACCTGTGCCAGGGCCTCACCAACCTCACAGATACAAAAAAACTTGCGAAAGATCAGCAAAGCTGGAGATTTGTGACTGCAGAGGAAGCAGAGCCTCAGAAAAAGCCTTGGAGCACAGGTTCAACCACTTCTTATGGCTGATTCCAGTCTCTGACATAATCCTGGGACTGATGCTCTACCTACCTCCTCTGGATGTCCTCCAGCTGTTGGGACAGACCTGGTTTATTGGTGGCTTCAACCACGTTTGGGGTTTTCTGAACTTCATAGGCCAGTTCTTTAAAATCCACATCAATGCCTTCAAAACGTTTGGAGTCCTACAAAGGGACACAAAGCAAAGCTCCAGCATTGTGCTGCGAGACCCCATCCTCTGGGGGCTGTCTTTGGGGTGAGGGGAGATTCCTCCCTGGCCAGGGGGAGGCATGTTCCTCCTCAGCATGGCTGTGAGTCTGGAATGAGCCTGGGAGCTGGGCTGGAGCACCCTGAGGAGGAGCAGGAGAAGAGCTGCTCGCCCCCAGCACCAGGGTGGAAGGACGGAGGGGGGAAAGCTGCCAAAGCTGCTGGGCCAGCTCTGTTTGATGATTTTCAGTGTCTGAGTAATGATCTCAGTCCTCTCCCCTCCGAAGGAAGGCAGCAGCTCCCACCCAGTGCCCAGGAGCTCTGTGTTTGCCATGCAGTGCTGCAAGGGAGACTTTCAGCCCCTCAGCATGGCTCAAGCACAGCCTGGGGTACAAAAACATCCTGGGGGAACAACCCCAGCACAGAGGGAGCCTCCAGAGAAGTGGGGCAGCAGGAGGACAGCCCTGCTTTGGGGAATTTGGCACTATAAATAACCCCACTAAATAATGGAGTCTCTTCTTCAATACTTTCCAGACTGGACATACAGGATCTGGGTGCTCATACCTGGGGCAGCTGTGCCCGGATGTCCTCTGAGCCTATGAAAATGCTCTCCAGGTGAGACCACGTGCGCTGCACCTCGAACCAGAGGGAGATGACGGAGTCAGCGGTGGAGAGCTTCCTCTGCCAGGCAGACACCTCCTCCAGGAAGAAAGCAATATATTTGGATGACATTAAATTCTGCAGCTGCACCTGGTTGTCTTCTAGAGTTTCAATGAGCTCCTCATCTGACTTCAGCAGGGGGATGTTGGTGCGGGGGTGAGGCTCATACTGAAACTCCCTGGAGCTCCAAGTCACCCTCAGCTCCCTCAGCACCTTCTCCGTGCTCATTTCTCGCACTGCTTTGTCCACAATGCCGTGGACCTCCCCCTCAAATTTGTGCAGGTTGAGCTTGAGGAGGTCAGCCAGGGTGGTGTCCGAGTCCATCACAAACCTCACGCCCGTCACCTGCATCAGCTGGTTCCAGTGCCTTTCCCTGATGGCAGGGTTTTGAAGCTCTGCCACAGCCTTCAGGGCTGTCAGCATGTTCTTCACCTTGCTGTCCAGCCCGCTGAAAGCGTCCCACGCCCTCATTTCCTTATCCAAGTTCCGAATCTCTCTTGCAAACTTTTTGCACTCCAGGTCCATGTTCTCCACATTGATATCCACCCACTTGGTGGTCTGCCAGTCATCAAGGCTGGTGTTCACCAGGGAGATCATGTCCCAGAGCTCTTTGAGAAGACACAGCTCCTTCCTGCACTGCTTCAGTTGTTTGTACTCTGGCACCATGACTTCAAACAGACCAGCTGATTCATAAATTGAGGTCATGGCTGACTCCATCTGTTTAATCTCCATGTGCTTTGCATCCAGCAGTTGATAAGGCTTTTCGGTGTCAAACCTAGAAATAAACATTTATTCTCTGTAAGTGAAATTGTAATGACTTCTGAAGAGCCCATAAAACAAACAGAGCCTCTGAGAGCCACAGGAGAGATGGAAGGTCTGTGCTACACCCTGATGGCTGAGCCACGTGGCACTGCTGACACCACCCAAAGCCAGCGTCTTCCCAGGGCCACACCACCGCAGGCACAGTGGGCTGTGAGCAGGGAGGAGCTCTGTAGATCTCCAGGTGATGCCTTAAGATTTATATTTTTTCTATTTTTCAGATCCTGCACTGCATTAGTGCATAACTCTGAACTCCGTGTAAAGTGTCAGCTACTGTCTTCACATTTTGGGCAGACAAAACAATCCCTCTGGGCCTGAGATCCAAGGACACACCACACGGCCCCGAAAAGTGAATTGGGGAGGAGCAAACAGGGGGAATGTGACCTCATTACCTGAAGCTGGAATTGGAGAATTAACCCCTGATTACAAATTGACCAATTTCTGTATTTCTGCCTGAAAAACTCGTGACCACTGTTCATAGTCACAAGTCCATGTCCATGGTCCTCCTCTGGGAGGCTTTGAGTGCCCAAGGTGTATTTGTTGAAGGCCTTTAATAAACACCCACTTTAGTTCTGTCTAGCCTCTGTTCTAGGCAGCCACTCCAAGGCATCACAGGGCTGAGGTTTTTCTCTCCAGGCTCGTGTGATGCTGAAGATGTGTACCTGAAGGGAGCCTCCCTCCCGAAGCGCTCGCGGAGCCGCAGCTGCTGGGCGTCGAAGCTGGCGCAGCTCTGGCGCAGCGCTGTCACCTCACTGGCCTGCAGAGGGGCCACCTGCTGCTTCACGGCCTGAGCCAGCTTCTTCACCTGGCTCCACTTCTCCGGCAGCTCCTGTGGGCACAAAGGCACTGCTGGGAGGCAGGGTTGGCTCTGCAGGGTGAGATCTGCTCCTGGATAAACACGACAGATCCAGGGGCTAGAACTGCAAGGGAGGTTGGTTGGGATGTCCTCAGTCATGCCTGGGGAGGTTTAGACTGGATATGAGGGAAAGATTCCCAGGAAGGCTTGTAAAGCACCAGGACAGGCTGCCCAGGGCAGTGGTGGAGTCACCATCCCTGGAAGTGTTAAAAACCCCAGTGAATGGGGACCTGGGGACACGGTTTACTGGTGATCATGGTGGTGCTGGGTGGATGGTGAGATTTTATCATCTTAAAGGTTTTTTCCAACCTCGACAATTCCATGATTGCCAAGGGCTCTGCTGCCCCTGGGTTCCCTCTCCTCCTTGTGCTGTGCAAGCCCACAGGAAAGACTTTGGGTTTCTCTCCATCCCAGACCACACTCTTGAGGAGGTCGATGGAGAGCCACCATGGAAAGAAGGGAAATAGCTGCAGGCAGATCTGAGGCAGCAGAGATGGCCAGGGCAGGGCCAGCCCCTCCTGAGAGGTCTCCTGCTGGCATTTTTCATTACAGTCTCAGCAGAAATCACTATCAGGACCACACTCAGAGCTGCTTCCTTCTTTTCCTACCAAGCTCCAGCCCATCCATCTCCACAGCCACAGAGGGAGAGGAGCCTGGAGGAACTTCTGCTTTTCCCACTCCACACAGGAGGGAATGAATCATTCACACACAAGTGTTGCTGCCACTTGCCAGAAAGAACAAATCTTTTGCTGTCTCCTGCATCTGGATGGCTGCTCCACACCCTCATTTCTTCTATCAGGAAAGGAAATCAGGTATTTGAAGGTATTTGCACAAGCAGGCACACACCAGTAGCTCCCAGGCAGGCGGATTTAGTGGAGCTGGGTTCCCCACAGGACTGGGCTTTATGGTGGATGAAGGCACTGCTGGCAGGGCTTGTCTCTGTCCCCCAACACTGGCTGGGCACCTCACCTTCATCTCATGGTCCTTTTTGAGGAAATGAAAGGAATTCCCTAAAAACTGACTCATGAGAGCCAGTTGTGGAAAGATGCCAAAATATTTTCATAACCTGCTCCCAGGGACATCCTCTGGGTAAAGCACATCTGGTGGTCTTGACCCAGAGGAGGACTGGAGTCCTGTGAGAAGGCAGCTCCTCTGACAAAGTTATCCTTCCCATCTCCATAGCTGCCAAGAACCAGCTTATTTAAAAATAATTATAATTCAACCTAATTAACAGATGGATTTGAAAATGCATTAATTTTTTTTTCAAGAGTAATGGCTGGGAGTTGGAGCAGGCAATTCCATGTTTTTCACACATAACAAAAGGCTTAATCTCCAATTTAAAAGAAAAAAATCTCAATATAACTCAAAAAATTCAGAGCTATTAAGGCACATCCTGCAACAGCAAAACACTGCCCACTGAGGCCCTCTAATGACAGAGAGCAGGGCTTTGAATATCCTGGGATGCTCCTCCACTCCTGCTCCTGGGCAAACCGTCCACCACAAGCCCTCACCCACCTCCAGCTGCTGGTGGACTTCCTCAGGCAGCTGCTGCTCATAGGCCCTCAGCAGCTCAATGGTTTCCTTCAGGGGCTCAAACATGGCATCAGTGGCACTGTGACGTTCCTTCACAGCCAGCAGGTGACCCATGACCTCCACCAAGCCACCATAGTCACCTTTCTCCACCTTTCTGCTCAAACCTTTCTCGGCAGTTCGGATGAACTCATCCAGCTCAGCCAAGCTGTAGAGCACAAAGCAGGGAAGGAAGCACAGGATGAGGGCAGTTCCTCTGGAATGACTATCCAGCCTCAGAACTGGAATTGCTGTTCAAAGGTATTCCTGGGCACAGCTTCCTTCAAGGAACAAAAAGACAGGTTGGGACTTCTCGAATTGGGAACACAGTACCTGAACAGGGACAGGGAGCTCAGGAGGGCTCTGGAGGGTTCCCAGAGCAGCTGGGGCTGCCCCTGGATCCCTGGCAGTGCCCAAGGTCATGTTGGACAGGGCTTGGAGCAGCCTGGGACAGGGGAAGGTGTCCCTGCTATGGCAGGGGTGGCACTGGATGGGCCAGTGCCCATCCATAAGATCCCTTCCAACCCAACCCATTCTGGGATTCTCTGACAGTTTTCAGCCCATCTCTTCCACTAGGAGAATCCGAGCTGCCCAGGTGAACCTGCCACATCTCAAACCTGTAACAAACAGGGATTGTCCTTCTTGCACTGCCTCTCTGCACAGGGCAGCTCCCTCCTGCAGGCAATGCAAATTCACAGCAGTTTAGAAAAGCAACTGGACATCTGTGGGAGGAAAAATCAATCCCTCCAGGACTTAATTAAGATCCCTGTCTCTCAAAGCCCTTGAGCCATAAGCCACCACAGAGGAGAAGAGTTTTTGGGGTACGTTTCCTCACCTGCTTGTCCTGTTCTTAACCTCAGCAGCTACTGGGCACTTTCAGCAGAGGAACAATGGGCACCTGGGCCTTAAAACACTTTTTAAGTGCCTGCTTAAATTCTCTGGATGCTGCTGAGCCTAAAAGTATCCTTAAATACTTCACCTAATAAAGACTGAGTTGCCGAGTCAGGGACTCTCAATAACAGCTCCTAAATGCTGGTTCTCTGCCACACAAAACCTCTTTGCAAAGAAAGTATCAGACAGATTTATGGTGCTGAAAAGCACACAGGAGATCACATCACCACCCCACAAGCCGCCTCCTCTTCAGATGTCTGTGAGCACTCCTCTGGGAGCATCCATAGCCTAAGACACCTTTCAGTTGTGACTGAGTTGCGACCAATAAATCTCCCAAGGCATTGTCCTGCACAGATCTGAGCAGCTCTTCAGAGCTAGGAACATGTGTTAATGTGAAAGTTGGAGCCCAAACTGCTCCTTTTTGTAGCCTGAAGACACCTCCCCATGACTGCTCATGCCAGGCTGCCTGGATCATGGGCTTTCAGAAACCTCATAACATCAGTGCAGGTTTACTGATGGGCACCATCAAAGCCAGGAAAGCAAGCCCAGAGCCCTGGTAGAGATGGGATGGTTTGGCTCAGGAGGAGTGGGCAAACATGCCTTGTCTAACACCCTACATCAGGGCATGGGCTCAGGTATGTCAGGGAGACCAAGTGTCCTCACTGTCCCCAGGGGGACCGAGTGACCTCACTGTCCCCAGCTCACACACAAGCAGAGACCAGGGCACAGAATCCACGGCAATGGGATGGAGCTGCTGTGGAGAATGGGCCCTCCTCTTGCTCCTGTCTAACTCTGGAGGGAGTCACAGCCCCGAGGCTGCCAGAGCTCCAGGAGCATCTGGATCAATGCTCCCAGGGAGGGATTGTTGGGGTGTCTGTGCAGGGCCAGGAGCTGGACTGGACATTCCTCGTGGATCCCTTCCAGCCCAGGGTATTCCATGATTCTCTAACTGACCTGGCCATCCATGTGGAATGATACAGGCCAGCCAAGACAAGAGGAATCCCGGCGCAGCCCCGGGAGCAGAGGCAGGAGCGGCTCTCACCTGCGCGTGACGTGGTCCAGGAGGTGCTGCTTGAACACCAAGCTCCACCTTTTAATCTCATTGAGCAAGGCTGCCTTGAAGGGCCGTGCATCGAGCCTCAGCCAGCCCTGGAAGGAGCAGACAGGCTGCATGCCAGCCACCTCCTCGTAGAGCCGCTCGTACGAGTCGATCTGCTCCCTGAACCGCTGCAGCGCCGGCGGCGCCGCGGGGACCCCGGCCTCACCGTGGGCCTCCAGGTCAGCGGGCGTGAGGACACGGCCATGGAGCAGGAGCTGGCGGCACAGCTCCCTCCTGTCCTCGCCGTACAGCTGCGAGTAGCGCTCCAGCTCCGCGCCATGCTCGCGGCACGCGGCCACCGCGGCCTGGGCGCGGCCCAGCAGCTCCTGGCGCGCCGCAGACAGGTCAGGCATGTCCTCCAGGTCAGCCTGGGGGGACAGGGGAGAAAAGGTCAGGGGAGACAGGAAAATCAGAGAGGGGAAGACAAGAGAGAACACATCTCCTTCCAGGCCAGGGAAAAAGGAAAGAAGAGAGAAAGGAGATGGAGAAAATGGGAGAAGGGAGAAAAAAGAGAGGGAGACAGACAGAAGAGAGAGAGAGACAAAAGAGAGAGGGAGACAGAAGAGAGAGGGAGACAGAAGAGAGAGGGAGACAGAAGAGGGGAGAACAGAGTGATGTGGAGCACGTGGCACCTCCTCACTGCCACCCAGGCTGGGGAAGCCCCACAGCACAGACCTGGTAGTGGCAGAAGCCGCTGTGCGTGGCCAGCCGTGGCACCAGCGAGGAGATGTGGTAGATGCCCTGGAGAAGACCTTCCACCTTGTCACAGAAGCCATCATTGGTGCCAGGGTCCAAGGGAGGGTGAAACACCAAATCTGGGATCACCAAATCCAGCTGCACCTCAAACAGGGGAGCAAGCCCTGCCTTGGGATCTGGTAGGGAAGAACAGAGATGGCAGGATCTTTTCCAAGGAGTCTTGAGCCACCACTGACATCCTATTACAAGATGCCACATGCCCTGCAGGGACAGCAGAGGGTGTGGTGGCAGACTCACACTCACTGGTGTCTGCACAACCCATGAAGGGGTTGGCAAACCAGCTGTGCTGCGGTACCCACCAAAGACAATGGGGAACAGATGAGACACAAGTGACTTAAGGACCAGAAAACAGCCTGAGGAGGAAAGGCTTGAAGAGACCAGGCTCTTCAGCTCATGCAGAGGGAGTCCTGAGAGCTGAACAATGCCAGCATGGAAATGCTTGCAGAGAAAAACAACAGGAACCAAGAGTCTCTTTAATTTAGTGGTGAAAGGCATAGAGAAAAAAAAAACCCAAACAGCAACCAGAAACTGAAGCCAGATGCAAATGTGACAACATATGCAAGTTTTTAACAAGATGGTGAAGAACTGCATGAGATTCTCCAGCTCATTGTGCCTCCAGATCCAGAAGGGAAGCGCTCCTGGAGATGTGCTTTAGCTGCACACAAGCTGCTCTCAGCAGAGCAAGAGGGGCTGGGCTGGTGACTCCTGAACCCAGCTCACCCCTGCCCAGGACTAATGTTCAGGGACTGAGGAGTTTATTTTGTGCCTCTCAGAAGCAGAACTGGCTCTTGAGACTCTCCACAGGGGAAGGATGGTGCCACCCTGTTGCTTTGGGCATGGGAGGGTGGGAGGTGCCTGGTGGAGGAAGCCTCAATGTCTTTTTCCATTAACCCTTGCAAACAGGGCACAGCCACCTCCATCCCTCCCCTGAGCCATCCAGTGACCAGTGAGGGAGTCACCCTCCCCTCCTGCAGGCTCCAGTGCCAGAGGAAAGCCAGGAAGACAAGAACAACCCCTGAGCATGAGGGAGCACAACCAGAGATGTCCCCTTGGAGGGGCTGAGCAGCCACTGGGGACAGGGACCAGGCGTCACCTGTGTTCTCCAGGAGGTACTTGAGCGAGCACTCAATGGCAGTGAAGAATCCATCCAGGACTATCTCATCCACATAATCCAAATACACCTTCCAGGCATCAGATGCTGGCTCTGCAAGTAGGAGGCTCTGGTTTTCCTGGAAGACAAAGAAGATGCCTTCACCCACAGCAGGGCTGAGTCTGTCCTCAAGAGAGCTGCCCACGCCCAGGGGCTGATGCTGGGCAGCTCAGGAGTATCAGCCCTGTGGAGGTGGATCTTCCTGCTGGGGCATGGCCACCATCTGCTCCTGTCCAGGGCTGCTTGGTCTCCAGGAGCACTTCAAGGTGAAAATGGAGAGCAGAAGGGCTTTAGAAGGTCTTCCATGTGTTTTCCTCCCTCTTCTCTGAGGCCACAACACTTGGGGCTGCTTTGCACCCCTGGGGCAGGGAGAACTGGGGGTCTCAGAGGCCCATCCTGATGAACCCATCTGGTTCTCTTCAGAGTCCAAGGCCAGACAGTGACCCCTAGGAGAGGGCTGTCCTCTAACCCATCTCGTTCCAGGCCAGGGGCTGTCCCTGACCTGTACAACACCTGGCTCCAGGCAGGTGAGGAGCAGAGCTTTGGGCCTTCTCCTGGCCCCCAGAGGACTCTGAGCTATGGCAAAACTGCTGGGAATCACCAAGGTTTGGGACAGCAGTCTTTCCCCTGTCACTCAACTTCTCCCTGAGTGCTCAGCATCACCTCCTGCTCCACAGAGGGACATCAAGCCTGAAACCGAAGGCTCAGCCCCAGCCGCTGTTCTCGGGTGAACACCTCAGAGGGGATTTTTCCTTGGAGCAGGATCCCAAACCCGGTGCACCACTCCCCTCTAGTGGCTCTGCAGCAGCCAGGGTTGGAGCCAGACCCTTCCTTGGGCTGCAGCTGCTGCCAGTCCTGCCCCAGCCAGCCTCACACCCCCATTCCAGATCACCCCTCAGGGACAGCATCAATTAACACCGGGTCAGCTTTTCAAATGGGTTCAGGGAGTTCATTTCAGGTGAAGCAGCTCTGGACATTTTCAGGGAGCCTCTGAGGAGCCACCCATCCCGGCAGGTGCCCCCTGACCTTCACCAGGGAGTGGATCCTCTGCCCAGCCTCCCTGACGAGGCTGTAGCGCCGTTCCAGGCACTCCTGGCACTCCTCCAGGCTCAGCACTGACTCCTTTTTGGGATCCCTCCTCTCAAATATGGGCGACTGCCACGAGTGCACGATGCTCTGGATCTCCTCAACGTTGTCCTTGGCTTTCTGCAGCCTCTGCTCCAGGTCACAGACATCGCCCATCACCCCAGAGAGGTGATCCCAGACACCTGGGGAAAATGAGATGATTGATCACCTATTGTCAGAGCTGCTGGGCCAAGCACTGGTGTTCTCTCCTTCAAAACTGTTCCCCCTCTCCTTCTCCTGCTCTTCTTCATTTTCCCCCTCTCCTTCTCCTGTTCTCTTTCATTTTCCCTGTGGCCTCACGTATTTCTCACTCATCCTTAAGGTAAGAGATTCCCCACCTTGAGCAGCAGAGCCTCCTCTACTTCTCTCCCACCCCAAGCCACAGCAGGGACCGCCAGAGCCTGGGCTAAACCTGAGGGGAGCAAGATTCTGTCCACAGCCCCAGCGGCTCAAGGGAATGTGGAAAGGAGCTGCTCCTCATCTCCCCAGTGCTGGATGTGCCAGAGAGTTCCCAGTTTCCTGCTGGGAGCAGGGAGCAGAGCCTGGGCACTGGGGAGCATGAGGAGACCCAGGTGTCACACGGAGCCAGCTCACCCTCTGTCTTCCAGGTCAGTGTTTCCTCTGCCTCTCGCAGCTTTGAGTCGATGTCCTGCAGCCTCCCCTGCAGCAGAGGATATTCCACCTCCAGCACCGTCCTCAGGACCTTGTTGTACGTGTTCCCCATCAGCTCCAGGCTGGCCACCAGCTGCCAGAAGGATTCCTTGCAGGAATAGATCTCGGCTGCTGCCGGGGGGATGGCTCCTGCCCCGCTGCCCCTCAGGTAGCTCACCTCCCTCAGCACCGACACCAGCTGGGGAAGGAAGGCACAGAGCTGAGCACAGCACAGTCCTCCCAGCCCCTGATGTTCCCTCCCATCCTTTCAGAGCCTCACAGGGGGTTCCTGCTGGTTTGTTCCCAAAGCAGCAAGCTGGAAAGGGCCTGGACAGCTCCTGGCACCTGTTTCCCATTGATCTCTGGCTCTGGATTTCTTCCCAGCTCTGTGAAATACCAACCAGCCTCTAAAAGCCACCATCAACTGTGTCCTCTCAGTCATCCCCACCCATGTGCATCCCCTCTCAGATGAAGGCTGAGCCACAAGTCTCAGCAATGCTCCTGCAAGAGCATTCATTATCAAAGTACCCTATCATTATCAAAGTGAAAGATAAGCTGGCTCCAGTTCTCTTGGTTTGCTGGGTTGATTGGCATAAAAAATAATTAAAAAAATAGTACCATGGCCAAAAACCCACCAACTCAACTTCTTCTGGTGCCATCTTCCATGGAGGATTTCTGGAATCACAAAACAAACCTTCCCTGGGATTTCTACCCCCTTTCAGAAGCTCAGGTTTCAGGTACACACAACATGAATGTCCCATCACTCCCCACACCAGTGTCAGCCCTGGTCTGGACATGCTGGCACCAGTTACACATCTGGCTCCTGGGGCACTTCCTGCCACTGGCTTCAAGCAGAATTTGCTCTGCTCAAAATGTAATCCTGGTATTTAAGCAGAGCAGATCTATGGTAGATCCTCATTACCCCCATGGGAGGGGTTCCACAGGCCCTGTACCAACCCCACCAGGTGTCCCCCACAGCCTGGGGACATGTCCTGGGGGACAGCAGAGCCCAACTCTTACCTGGGGATCAAAATTGACCGAGATCAGCTTGGTCTGTGGATCTCGCCGGATGAGAGGCTGAGTGAGGTTGTACTGGGATTCTTCTGAGACTGTCTGGGACCAGTCTAAATACAGCTTTTCCTGATACCTGCCAGGAAAGAGAAACAGGCACCACATAGTTACCAGGCCAGAGGGTGCAGCTGTAACTGAGTGGAAGCCAAGTCCATTCTGGGGACTGAGGAACGTGAAGGAACGCTCAAAACCCATCCATGCCACCTCCACAAACAACAGTGCTTCCAAAACAAACACCCAAAACACAGTGGCAGTGTCAAGTCAGGAGGGCAAAGCTCTCTCTCAAGTACCAGTTTTAATTTTTAATTCATTAAATTATTATTTTTTTTTAATTCCCATTTGGAGATGGACTTCCCAAAGCATTTAGCCTAACATGATAGATCAGCAGCTGGGGGCTTCCAAAGGTCTAAGCAGGACAGGACAGGTTCCTAAAGCCACAGGGATGCTGGGGTGGCTGAAGCTGACCTCACCTGTCTGAGTGAGACCACAGCACCCCTGGGATGGGAGCACTCAGGGCAGAGCAGAGGTGTGGACAGTCCCAGTCCCAGAGCCTGTTCTGAGTCACTCTGAGCGCTCTGGGAAATGGCACCCAGGAGACGGTGCCTCCAGGGGCTCACCCCACACCATCTGTGGGGCTGCTCCTCTCTGGAAGGCTGTGTTTAATTTAATTTAATTTTTTATTTTATTATACTATATTATATGTATAATATAATAATATATATTTTTCTATATTATCTATATTTTATATATACATTATCAATTATATATAATAGATAAATTATAATATATATAATATATAACATAATATAACACAACACAATATAACATATATATAACACATATATATATATATCTATATAACACATATATATATATATATTTTATAATCTCTACAGATAATATTATTATTGTTCTGGTGATGGGAACAGGGCTCTCTGCACAGGTCTCCCATCCACCCTGCAGCATCCAGGCTCTCAGCTGCCTTTGCTGTGGGTGGGGAGCAGGGCCCTGCAGGGCTCTCCTCCCTGGGGAAGGGGTTTCTTCCAGGGGACAGCCCAGGGCAGCCAGGTGTAACATCACACACTGAGATGCCAAGCCCTGGGCAGCCCAAACTGTGGAATATCCACATTACAGCCCCTGCAGGCACAGCCACTGAAGGGGCAGGGGAGGAACAGAGACTTCTCCCAGCCCAGGCTTCCCCCCAGAGCAGCTCCTGCAGCCCACAGCAGAGATGTGATGGTTCTGATGCTGCTGCTGGGCTGCAGAGCCCTGTGCCTCCCCTGCAGGATTCTCCATGGAAGCCATCCCAGCAGGACATTCCCTTGGCTCACAAAGGGACATTCCCAAGCCCTGGGCTGTTCCTGGAGGTGGTTTGGGTGGGGGATGTTCCCTCAGCCCTGTGTCAGCCCCCTGTACCTGTCGAGCAGCTGGATCATTTCTTCATATTTCTGCAGCACCCTCCTTCCACGGGCAGAGTCCAAGCTCCTGGAGCACAACACACAGGGGTCACCTTTGGTCCTGGGGGCTGAGCTCTGCATTCCCCCCTTCCCAAGGTCCCCCCCAGCCTGCAGGCACAGGCTGCTCGGATTTCACCCCAAATCCCCTCCTGCACAAAGCCCCTGTGCTCTTTCGGGTGTTTCCATGCTCTGAAATGGGGAGCAGCAGCTGGGATGGGAGAAAGGCCCAGGGCTGCTGGAAAGATCTGTTACCAAACATCACTTTGAAACATTTTACCCTCCACAGTTTTCTGTCACAGTTGTGCTGCACTAGATGCAGGTCACAGCTGTGTGAATTACTCTTTATATAATGTATAGAAAATATATATATAAAATGTATGCAGTAACATATATTACATAGATCATATAAATAATACATATCTGTATTAACACATATTTTCATTTTTCCTTTTCAATCTTTTCTCCTCTCAAGCTGCACATGGGAAAGAGCCTCACACCACCCTGCTGAAGGACTTGTCCTTGGCTGCTCTAAACAGAGGGGTAAAATCAATGCTAAATGCAGGGTCGATGAAACTTCCAGCCCTGGGTTGTTTTCTTGATCTTGGGTGATTGTTCCTTTGTTTAATGCTGAGAAAGTTACGATACCCAAGAGCTGGGCTGCTCCCAAGGAGGTCCTGGAGACCGTGCTGAGAGGAATTACAGTGGGAAAGGTTGCAATACCTCTTTTAATTGCAACCTAGGGCTATGTTAAAAGCTGAGGAGCCTATCTACTACCCCACTGTGCCTCTCAATCACTTCGAAACCAATCCAGCTAAAGTGCTCCTTTAAAAAACAAAGGTGGCAGGGAAGTGAATGGCCCCAGGGCACCCACTTCTCACCTCTCCACTGAGAACTGCTCCAGCTGCAGCCACTGGGCAGCACTCAACACTGAAAGAACATCTAAAGGCTGGCTAGAGATTTCTAGACGGTCACAAAGCAATTTATCTGGACACTCACAGCCCTGGGATGTGCCTGAAGTGCTCCAAGGGCCGCTGGATCCGAGCCCGCAGCTCCTGCGCCCAGCCCAGCGCTCCGGCCACGGGAGGGACGTTCTTGTGCAGGGGGGGAAAGCCTGGCAGGACACAGGGGAACAGCATTCCATGAGCCCTGCAGTCCCAGAGACACCCAGAGCAGCTCAGCTCCACACAACTGCCCTGCTTCCCAGGCTTCTTCCCTGAAATCCAACCTCTGTCACACCATGGAGGTCTGGGACCCGCAAATCCCCCTGCGCCTCTGCACTGGGGATAAGGGATCAGAGGAGGAGCCTGGCATGTCCTGGCAGCAGATTGGGGTGAATTCCCTGCTGCCCAAAGAGGCTGAGGAAGGGATTTCTGGCTGGGAGCTGGTTGTGACCATCCCACAGAGCAACACTCCCCACAGTCACAGCAAATGCTGGACTCGTGCTCCATCCGTGTCCCCATTCCCTCTGTTCCCTCTGGTCCAGCAGTGCTGCCTCTCCAGAGCCTGGCTGGCTCCAGAACAGTCTGGTTCCAGAGGCTGCTGCTCAAGAAGACACACTAATCCTCAGAATCTGACAGGAGTTTTCCTGTTCCCTTCTGTGCCAGCCTTCCCAGGAAATAATAAACCTGGAGAAGGCTGAGCAAACCCCGAATTCCCACCTCCCCCTTGCATTTACAGCATCATGAGGGAAAAGCTCAGCGTGTGCCTTCAATCCCAGCCACACCTCACACGTGCACATTTCAAACAAAGATATTGGCACTGCTCTAATGCCAAGAGCAGAGCCACACACTTCCCTTTCCACTAGGAACTACAGAAGCTGAAAAGCTTTGCAATTTGGCAAGTTCTGCTTTCCTCAGCAAAAGCAAATTATTTCCCCCCCTAAATTACTCAAAACCCAGATTCCTGTAAAATCACTTTTCCTCCTCAGATGGCACCCACCGAGCTGCAGCCCTGTCTGGGTGTGCCTGGTGTAGGTGAGCCTGGCCTGCTCCAGGGCAGTGCTGAACATGCTGAGGAGGACAGGGACCTTGTCAGCAGCCACTGCAGCCATCGCAGGGCGCTCCAGAAGGTTCCGGAACATGGCCAGCAGCTGGAAGGAGCAGGGAAAGAAATGGGGAAAAGTCACAGTCCTGCACAAGGTCCCACTGGGATTTTCCTCACTGGTGCAGGTGCTTCATCTTCCTCAGCAACTCAAAGGTCTGCACTGATGGACACTTTGTCAAAGGGAAGGTTTTCCCCCTCTCTTTCCCAAGTAGTTCCTGCCTTTCCTGGAATCATTAAGGTTTGAAAAGAGCTCCAAGATCACCTTTGAGTGAATCCCACCACTAAAGCTATCACAAAGAATGTCTTTGTTACAGAAATGCTCAGGCCTTCTCTGTGGGTGAACCATATTCCAGCTGCCATGCCTCAAGTGCTTCAAATTTGCTATTTAAAAAAAAACCCCACAACAGCTCGAAGATAAATACTATCACTTACAGTTTTCTATAATTATACTGATTTTTTTCAGAAAGTACCATTTATTTCTGCAGGATGGATTCACTGGTAAACAAAGCTGTCTCATTTCTAGAAAACCTCCATTTTCAGAGCTGAAATTCTTGCATGTATTAATAAATTGATATTAACAATGATCACCTGGTTTTAACAGCAGTTTTCACCAGGAAATCAGAGAATCTCAGATTGGTTTGGGTTGGAAGGGACCTTAAAGTCCAGCTCATTCCACCTCCTGCCATGGGCAGGGACACCTTCCATTAGACCTGGGTGCTCCAAGCCCTGTCCTGGCCTTGGAACCCAGAGCAGCTCTTCCTCCACCTGCCAGGGAGCCCAGTGAAACCCCTGCCATCCAAAAGCCTGATCTGAGTCATTTCTTTGGCTGCTCTTCCCCAAACTGAGCAAAGGGCTCTTGTGTTTGTGTCAGGAGTGAAGAGCAGGAACACCCCCAGCTCCAGAGCTCAGGAGGGACCCACAGCATCCCTCCCCAGCAGTGTCCCACTGTCCATCCCACGTGCCTGCAGCTCCAGCACTGCCTGGCCTCTCTGTGGGGCTCACAGGGAGGGAAGGAGGGAACAGATAAACCTTGAAGATGTGCTCCATGTCCGGGGCATCGCTGAAGGCCCGGCTGAACACAGCGCCCAGCCGACGGTCAATGTCCTGCACCTTCTGCTGGAAGTCCAAGGCATCCTGCACAAACTCCTGTGGGAAGGGGAACAGCAAGTCCAGAGCTGTGAGAAGGCACTGGGGGGGTGCCCAAATACCCAGAGCTATTTCCTCTTCTCATTCACCAGGAATTAACACACTCCTCTGGCCACCCTCCACAGAGTCAGGGACACTTCTGTCCCATCCCATGGCCCTCCAGGATGGACCCACAGTCCAACAAGTACTGGGGGCAAGACAGACTATTTCCACGCTCTCTTACTCTGAAGACCACACCACCACCCCCCCAAAAACCCACAGAAGCACTTGCTGAACCAGCAAGGTATGCTAGGTTTAAGCTGTGCCAGGGGAACTTTAGGTTAGACATCAGGACGGAATTCTTCACTGAAGGAGTGGTTGGGCACTGGAATCATCTGCCCAGGGAGGTGCTGGAGTCACCATCCCTGGATGTGTTTAAAAACAGACTGGACATGGCACTCAGGGCTGCGGTTTAGTTGATGGGGAGGTGTTGGGTCACAGGTTGAACTCTGGGATCTCAAAGGTCTTTTCCAGCCTGGTTCATTGTGTGAGTCTGAGATATGGAGCTGCAAGAACTCCCAAGTGTCTGCAGAAAAGGCCAGCAGCTCCCTAGAGTGACAGATCAGATCACAGCAAAGGGAGGAAGGAGCTGGGAAGGAGGAGCCAGGGTGGATGTGCTGCTGGCATTCCCACCTACCACGTTGGCCAGGTCCAGGCAGTCGTAGGTTCGCTCTGAGAACACCTGGTAGCCCTCCTGGAACTCCTCGTACATGTCCAGCACCTGCTGGCTCAGGGCCTTCCCTTTCATCCCCCCGAACTCAATCTTCTCCAGCTGTGTCAGGTCCAGGGCCGTGCTCAGGAGACCCTGCAGAGCCAGAGGAGGCACACAAGGAGATGACAGCAGGTACAACAGCACATGTTTGCTCCTGGCCCAAAGGACCTCCCAGGCTCAGTGAGGGTGCTCAGGCTGGGATCAAGATGATCTTTAAGGTCCCTTCCAACCCAAACCATTCTGTGATTCTACAGTTGTGAGCAGTTTTAGAATAGATGCCATCCACTGTGGTTTTCAATGCAGCTCCTTAAGGAATGAGCAGAGTTACACAGTGTGGTTAAACCAGTAAAACCTTCTGTTCCAGTGCAGAGAATGAGGGAAGGAGAAAAGCAACGCAGACCTTGCCTTGGACAGGCAAAAGCAGCCTGTGGAGTGCCCATCTCTGTCCACAGCTGGGAGCAGATGCCCTTTGGAGAGGTGAGGGGTTACCCCCAGGTGAGCACAGTTTTTGTGACTCAGCCTGTAACTCATGGAGCCTCAGCCATGCTGGGGGCTGAGGGATGGTGGCACTGGTGACACCCCTGCCCCCCTCATGGCACACTGAGGAGCCGTGGCAAGCAGGGACACCCTGGAGCCCCCAGCATGGCACACCACTGGGATGTGAAGGGATGACCTGGTGAGGAATGTGGAATGTGTCCTTGCTCTTCCCCAGGCCCCCTGTCCAAGTCAGGAGATTCCCAGCTCCAGGATTTCCCCTGGAAGCCTCAGAGCTTGTCCTGGCTTATTCCCAGCCCTGCAAACCACAGCCCCATAACCCCCATCCCCTTGCCCCCACAAGAGCACGAGTCCCAGAGGACTCCTGGGTGCACAGACACAGACTCAGTGTCACAGAGCAGAAGGACACAGCAGCAGATCTGACACGTGCCCTGAGCAGGACCTGGGCAAACGAGGTTCTGGCCTGGGTGTCAGGGGGCCCACAGAGCACAGAGTGGCCCCATGCCCTGGCATCAGGGAGGGAAGATGCCAGCAAGGGAGTTCCTGGCTACAACACCTCACAGCTCCAGAGTCTCACCTTGACCATCTCCAGCCTCTGCAGGAAGCTGTCCAGCCTTGCAAACACCAGTCTGGTGTGGAAGTCCCACTCCCTCACTTCCTGGCCTGGCTCATAATACACGTGCAGGTTTTCCCTTCTCTCCTCAAACGCCCCTTTGAAGGTGTTCAGGATGTCAAACACTGTTTGCACCTTGCCCAGGCTCTCTTCCATCTCTCCTCTCAGAAGGTCTTCTGGACACAGGTACACCACGGCCTGGAAGAGCCAAACCACACCAGAGGTGTCACTTCTGTCACAGCAAACGGTGACTCCTTGCACTGAACACATCTCACCCTCCCTGCCAAGTTCAGAACCCCTTGGGAGGGGGAATCCTTGTCCAAGGAAGGAAAGGAGAAAGAGAGAAGAGACTATGACAAAGAGAGAAGAGACTATGACAAACACAGGTGCCACAGCCACACACCTGCTGAATGAGAAGGTTGCAGATTTCCTGGAGCAGCACCACGACCCGCAGGGGCACGCTGTAGTGCTTGGAGGTGACCCAGATCCAGCACACCACGTGCAGCAGAGGGACCAGGAGAGGCTTCACCTTGCTGAACTCAACAGCTTCTATGTCCTCCAGGGGCTGCTGCAGAGGGGCCAGGTGCAGGTCAATGTCCTGAGCCTCGCTCAGAGCTGTGGGAAGAGAGGGGAGAAGGGGTGAGAGCCATTGGGCTGGGGTGGGGGTCAGCTGGATGCTGGCACAGAGGGGACAGTCCTGGAGAGCACAAAGGGGATAGACAGACCTGGAGAGCACAAAGGGGACAGAACTGGAGAGCACAAAGGGGACAGACAGTCCTGGAGAGCACAAAGGGGACAGACAGACCTGGAGGGCACAAAGCACTCACCTACGTGTGCTGGGGACAAACCACCCTGATCCCTGCTCACCTACAGCTGAACCAGCACAGCAAACAACCTGACCCTGTGGTGGGGGACAGGGAGTGGGACGGGGTTCTGGGCACAGGCTGAGGCCACAACAACCAAGCAGTGCCAGGCAGCACCAAAAGCACAGCTCTGCACAGTCCCCAGGCTTGGCCCAAGCTCAGCTGAGCCTGGTTTTGGCTCTGGCAGCCCCATGCCCAGAGGGCAGCACAGTCCCACCTGTCCTGACTATACCAGAACAGAAATGAGGGCCTGACTGGGTGAAATTTGCAGCTTAGCTTTGTTCAGTTGTGTGGTTGGACACTGAAGAACTACCCCAAAGTTAATAATTGATTAATTTTAAATAAATAAATTAATTTTAATAAAACCAGGACATCATTATGCAGCTAAACCTGTGAACCAACATGAAGAGAATCATCACCACCATCTATTCATAGCACCATGGAATGGTTTGGGCTGGAAGGGACCTTAAAGCTCATCTTGTTACACCTTCCCCTGTCCCAGGCTGCTCCCAGCCCCCATGTCCAGCCTGGCCTTGGGCACTGCCAGGGATCCAGGGGCAGCCCCAGCTGCTCTGGGCACCCTGTGCCAGCCCTCCTCACCCTCACAGAGAAGGATTTCTTCTTAATATCCAAATCTAACCTCTGACAGCATGAAGCCATTTGCCCTCGTCCTGTCACTGCCAACCCTTGTAAAAAATCCATCTCCAGCTCTCTTGGAGCCCCTTTAGGCACTGGAAGGCCAAAGTGAGATCAATCCAGAGACTTCTCTGCTCTGGACTGAACAATCCCAATTGTCTCAGCCTTTTCAGAAGTGCCAGAAGTGCACATGCAAATAACCCCAAAGCTTGAGACTAAGGAAGTAGAAACTCTGTCAGCATCTCCCTCCCACAAAGCCACCAGGGCAGGGAGGGCACAGGACTCTGGCACCCCAGGCTATGACCAAGGACAGAAGTCAGCACCACGGCAGAGCTGTCCCAGTTTCTCACCTGCCTCAACATCCATCAGCATGTTTTGGAAGGCTGGCACGAAGATGCTCTGTGCTCTCTCCAGCACCTCCAGCATGTTCCTGACCCTCCTGGATGTCAGCTGGCTGTGAATGCCTTCCAGGTCAGCACACCTGCAGCAGCCAGCACAGGTTACAGCACACAGCAGTGCCCCAAAGCCCTGCCTGCCTTGGCTCAGGATTTCCTGCAGTTACACAGGGACTGAGCCCCAGTGGGGGCAGGAAACAGGAGCAGCCCTACAGGACACAGCTGGAGCCAGGCTCAGAGCAGAAAGGAGCCAGTGGTGTTTCTGCAGCCACTGCTGACAGCTCTGCACAGGCAGGTCTCTGTCTCCAGTCAGCTGAGCCAGCACAGCACAAAGGACAGGTGAAATTCCACTCCCTGGCTCATGTAACCCCTCCCTGGCACCACCAGCAGCCAGCTGACAGATGGAGAGTGCCCATCAGCCCTGCTCTGAGGCTGGGTCCCAGTGAACAGTGATGGGAACAGCATTTCCAATAAAATTCCCTCCTGGTGTAGCCCTGGGCTGTGGTGGGGCCAACCCAAACCACGCAGCCACCTCCAGGCACTCGATCATCCTTATTTTATGTCTGGGAGCAATATTGTTGTGTTCAGGTCTCTACATGACCTGCAGCAGCTGCTCTGGCTCACAGCAGCAGCACTCCCTCCACCCAGAGCAGCACCAGCAGCTTCCCCCAGCACCTGCTCTTCCAGAACTCCAGCTCCACCCTTGGGGTTGGGTTGGTGCCTCGCAGGAGAGGCTCTGAGGACTCTTTCTTCAGCACTCTCTGGACCTGCTGGCTCCAGTCGATGATGGCTGACTCGGTGGCATGTACAAGGGATTTATTGATCAGCTCCAAGCTGTGGAAAACAGAGCATGAGGGTCACTTGGCTTTCTGCTTGTCCATGTGCATTGCTCAGTTGGATCTACCTCAATGGGCAGCTGGATTTTACACTTACAGCCCAGATTCATGTTTCAAAACCACAAAACAATCAAATTCCTAAGGGAGACTATTTACAAGGGCAGTTAGTGAAAAGGAGGAGTGGTTTTAAACTGAAAGAGAATAGGTTTAAATTAGGGATTTAAACCTCCCTGTGAGGGTGAGCAGGCCCTGGAAAGCCAGGTTGGACAGGGCTTGGTGTAACCTGATGGCAGTTTGGAGTTTTCCCTCAGTGATGCAAGCAGTTCATTGCTTCTCTGCATGCCCACATCCACTTCCTGAGCTTCTCCTGCTTGTATTGTTGTACAGACCCCAAAGACAGAGCCCATGAACTCAAGAGAGCAAAATACCCCTCGTTGGCAGTCTGATGAGCTGCAGAGGACAGGGAGCAAGAAGAGTCCCCACGTCTGACAGGCAGGATCCCCAAAAGAGGCAGCACATGCAGCAGCAGAAGAAAAGCCAGCGGAGAGCAAGGGCTGAAACTCACAAATTCTCATTTTTAGGATCAATGTTCTCAAATCTCTCTGAGCCAGCTGGAAGAGGCAGCAAGGTCTTGCCATTCACTTGGCCAATAACCTTGAAGACAGTGCTTTTCAGGCTGTGCACGTGATGGATGATGTCTTGGGACACCACTCGGGGCCAGCCCTGGTGGTTCCTCCGGTTCGTCAGGATGGGCACGATCACCTACAGCAGGAGTCATGGAAGAGCAAGGGAGAAGAGCTGAAGGAAGTAGATTTAATTTGATTTAGGAAGAAATTCCTCCCTGTGAGGCTGGGGAGGCCTTGGCACAAGGGTGCCCAGAGAAGCTGTGGCTGGCAGTGCCCAAGGCCAGGCTGGACAGGGCTTGCAGCAGCCTGGGATAGTGGAAGGTGTCCCTGCCCATGGCAGGGGTGGCACTCGATGATCTTTGAGGTCCCATCTAACAAAAACATGCTGTGATTTGATGATTCTGTAACAAAAAGTACTGTGGATGGACTGGCCACCAGGCTCCGAGGTCCTGGCAAGCCTGGAGACCCTCACTGACCACTGTCCCAAGCAGTTCCCTGCAGGTGGTGATGAGCAGGGCAGCAGGGCCAGGCTGAGCCCAGGGGCTGTCCCTGCACAGCCACCCCCATACGCAGAGGGAAGCTCCTCTGGTACCTCCTGGCATCTACAGCATAGCCACGTTTTGGGTTATTTCCCAAAGCTGCAGCCCACTGAATACAGTTCCTGTCTTCAGCAGTGGAAATTCCAGGGTCTGCACTGGCCTGGCAGCTGGGGACTCTGGGCTGGGCTTGTCTGGACCTGAGCTGCCTCTGGCTCTTTGTGCTGGGATAGCAACAGCGTCTGTCACCTTCCTCTGGGATCACAGCCGGGTTGCCCATGGTGATGAGCAGCCTTTGTGTGGCCAGACTTGGGGGAGGATAAAGGTATAAAAACAGCTACAAACAGACACAGAATTGAAAAGGAACAACCAGGGTGCCACTCCAGGGTGCTGAAAATTCATTGCACCGTGACCAGAGGACCAGCAGCAGCAATCACCATGTCCCGGGAGCCTCGGGAAAGGGAAACAACCCCAGGGCACACAGAGTTCACCTGCAACAGCTTCAGCTGCAACAGTATCAGGCTTTGTCTCTACTACTCAAATCACAGGGACTGCTAATGAGTGTAGAGTCATAACCACGCAAATCAGCTGTTTGTGTTCTATTGGATTGGTAAAATGACAACTGGGACCTTGATGGAATCTCTCAAAGATCCCTGTGGGAAAACATCAGCCCACCTGAGGTAACTGGGCACTCAAACACAGGAGGCTCTTCTGAAAATCAGGGAAAACCCTTTCCTGGTGAGGGTGACTGAGGGCTGGCACAGGCAGCCCAGGGAGGCTCTGGAGTCTCCATCTGTTGGGATACTGAAAAGTCACCTGGACACGGTCCTGGCTGGCCAGGCTGGAGCAGAGGCTTGGACCAGATGTGCCTGAGATGAGCCATGCAGCACAACTATCCTAGAACCACACAACGCTTTGGGGTGGACGGGACCTTAAAGTTCACCTCGTTCCACCGCCTGCCATGGGACACCTCCCGCTGTCCCAGGCTGCTCCGAGCCCCGTCCAGCCTGGCCTCGAACACTTCCAAGGGCGGCACAAGCACAGCTTCTCATTCTCAGGAGCACATCCAGTGTCTCTGTAAAGCGGCTCAGCCTCACCGTGAGACACCCCGAGCTCGGCATTTCCGAGGCTGGGCTCTCCAGAAGGCTTTTCCCCCCTTACCTCCTCCAGCACGGCGGCGAAGTGCGGCAGGGGCTCTGCGGGCAGGTCCCCGCACAGCAGCTCGGCGGGCCCGGGGCCGGCTCCGGCCGGCCGGAGGAAGAAGATGGCCTTGGTGGCTCCGGGGGGC